ATTTCTTCGGCATCTGTGTTTAGCTAGTTTAAATCTATATGACCTCTTGTTCTTGAAGTTCCAGGTCTCAGAAAATCTTCCCTATCGATTTTATCAATTTCTGTTACAATTTTGTACCTAGTGATCATATCACCTCTTTTTCTTCTGTCTTCTAGTTTTGGCATATTTAATGCCTCTAACCTCTCTTCGTAGCTCTTGCACTTCAGTTCTGGGAGCCACTTAGTAGCATGTCTTTGTACCTTTTCCAGTTTGTTGATGTGCTTCTTAAGATATGAGCACCACACAACCACTGCATATTCTAGCTTTGGCCTAACAAAAGTCGTGAACAATTTATTTAGTATATTGCCATCCATGTATTTAAAAGCAATTCTGAAGTTAGAAAGCGTGGCATAGGCTCCTCGCACAACGTTCTTTATGTGGTCCTCAGGTGATAGTTTTCTATCTAGAACCACCCCTAAATCTCTTTCTTTATCAGAATTCTTTAAAGATTTCTCACATAATACATAGGTTGTGTGGGGTCTATGTTCTCCTATTCCACATTCCATAACATGGCATTTATTAACATTAAATTCCATTTGCCACGTGGTGCCCCATGTACTTATTTTGTCCAGGTCATCTTGAAGGGCATGACAATCATCTAAGTTTCTTATCCTTCCTATTATCAGCAAACATGTTCATATAATTCTGTATACCAACTGGTAGATCATTTATGTAGACAATAAACATCACTGGTTCAAGAACTGAACTCTGTGGTACTCCACTTGTGACATTTCTTCAGTCCGATACATTGCCTCTGATTACTGCCCTCATTTTTCTATCAGAAAATTTTTCATCCATGTTAGAAGCTTACCTGTCACCCCTCCAATATTTTCTAGTTTCCAGAAGAACCTCTTATGTGGAACTCTGTCGAAAGCCTTTTTTAGGTCCAGACAGATGCTGTCAACCCAACCATCTTTTTCCTGTAAAATCTCTGGCTCGATCATAGAAACTGAGTAAATTCGATACACAAGATCTTCCAGATCAAAAACCATACTGTCTGTCTGGTATTATATCATTTCTCTCCAGGTGTTCTACCCATTTAGTTTTGATTAGTTTTTCCAATACTTTCACTATTACTCTTGTCAATGATATTGGTCTATAATTGGGGGAGGTCATCCCTGCTGCCAGTTTTGTAGATTGGACCTATGTTAGCCTATTTCCACACATCTGCTACGATTCCTGTACACAGGGATGCCTGAAAGATCAGGCGAAGTGAATGCTGAGCTCAGATGCACATTCTCTCAGAACCCATGGTGAAACTCCATCTGGACCAACTGCTTTGTTCTTACTTAGCTCCTTTAACATATGTTCCACTTCATCTCTAGACACCTCTATACGCTCTATGTTGTTCTCTGGAATTCGTATTGTGTCTGGTTCTTTGAAGATCTCATTTTGTACAAACACACTTTGGAACTTTTCGTTTCATGCTTCACACATTTCCTTTTCATTTTCCGTGTATCTGTCCCCCATTTTCAACCTCTGAATATTATCCTTTACCTGCAGCTTACTTTTAATGAATTTATAGAAAAGGCCTGGATCTGATTTACATTTGTCTGCTATACCGTTCTCAAAGTTCCTCTCTGCCTCTCTCCTTACTGACGTGTACTTGTTTCTTGCATCTTTGTATCGCTGGTATGTTTGGTGGTTTGACCTCTTTTTATAATGATTCCATGCTTGGGTCTTTTGATCTCTGGCCCTCTCGCAATTTCTGTTGAACCAACCCTGTTTCCTAGGTATACAATAAACAACCTTATTAAGCATGTCTGTTTTGGTATGAATGTTTTTGTGCCTTCATCATATATTGTGCAAAATTTGACATACATCTCATTTACTTCCTTGCCTAGCAACAAGTCTGTCCAATTATACCCAAGAAAAAAATTCTAAGTTCCCCATCGCGTCGTCTCTTGAAATCGAGTTTAACAACTGTTTCACTGTCCCCATTTATTTCACATGAAATGTGGACATTTCACATGTCCACACACTTTTGTGTGTGTGTGTGTGTATATGTATATATATATATATATATATATATATATATATATATATATATATATATATATATATATATATATATATATATATATATATTGTGACGATAATCTCTTTCAAGAGAGATTGAGCCTGCTCTTCCCTACAAAGTACGTCACTATACAAGATAGTATAGAAGATACGTCCACCAAATATCTCCAAAACGTTTTGCCCAGAGAGCAAAACGTATCCAGCACACCGGCACACCTGCTACCCACCGCCGTAACCAGCTAACTGCTCATCCTCTGCCTGCCTGTTGCTGATTGGCTGGTGTCTCGTCGCCCCTGCCCTCCGCCACCACCACAAGTCGACGTCTGGGCTGTAGTGTGCCAGTCTCGTCAGAATATCTCAGTGCTCCATGCAGTTGACATCTCTCGCTGGTAGACTAAGCCTTGGCTTTCGTGTACTAAGGGAGGTGGCAGCTCGAAGCCAGTATTCCAGCACTCATATTTTATTTTGCCATCACTGTAACTTACTTGTCTTAGCGTAACTTTTCATTTGCCAGTGATTATTCATGTTATTTTGTTTGTTGACTTATCCTGCATATTTTATGAGATTGCCTTTATTCATGTCTTGTTTTTCTAGAGTAATTAAAATTTCATTGTTTATATACTTGTGTTTTGTGTGTCTTCCCATTACCTTACCACAGACGAAAGGACCAACTTTTCTCTTTTGTCATGTGACGAGGCCCTGCCCCTAGCTTTTGAAACAGCCGAACACCAACGCTTTACCGTCACTATATATATATATTAATTTATATATATATATATATATTAATTTTTATATATTAATTTATTATATATATATATATATACACACATACACACACATAAAATTAACATTTATTTTATATATGTGAAAAAACTGTGGAGAAACATTTAAGCGAGAGGCCCCGGCCGCGACTTGAGGCATCATTAATGTCAATTGCAAGAAACAAACGCTGCAGCTGCCGCCATCTTTGTTATCTTGATTGATGGCAATTTTCGTCAGGACTGATATAATTGTTACATATTCTCGTGATTATTTACCTTAGTATTATATACATGTGAATAAAGCGTACACGAGAGTTATATTAATGTCTTATTCATCGATAGCCTGTATAATAGGCCTATAATTGTATCCTTATTATTGCCATACAATACAATACTGTAGTTACATACATGTGGCTCAGTTGCCCTCTTTCATACTCAAAGGGTGTGTATGGCTGAAGGCATTAACAAATTAACTAAAATAAATAGCAAATGTACTTGATTTGAGGTCTAAACAAGTTACAATTAACTAATTATACTGATATGATTTTAAGTTGGATCACATAATATTGGTATACCAGTGTAGGGGACAAGAAGCCTATTGGTTGTCTCTGGCGAGCACCCATCCAGTTACTGGCCACACCCAACCTAAGCTTATAAACACATCGATCAAAATTCCTCCACACTCAGATTTTTTTTTTATATAATTTAGCGATTATCCTAACAGGTTAATTACTAGTTAATGAATTATTTCATATAAAAAAAGGGATAAATATGTTTTGTGGGGTAGTAAAGGTGTGAGGACTACGAGGCGTGTTGAGGCAGCAGTGTGGTGCTGTGGTCGGGTGAGGGAGCTGCGTCCGTCGGCGGTGCAGGTGCTGGAGCCTCACCTGGGTACTGTGGTGCTGGAGACGAGCCCCGGGAGGTGGTGGAGGCCCCAAGATGAACCCGGCAGCGGTGCCCACGCCCCTAGAGGACGTGCAGGGGGACGGCCGCTGGCTGAGCATGGTAGGTGTGGAGCAGTGGGGGGGACCTCGTCCACTCTCGGGGTGACTAATGGTGTTCCAGCAGTCCTCTCCTGCACCTTCACCACCACCACCCTGGCTGGTGGGGTCCAGGGGCAGCCCTCCACCTCTAGTCTGGAGGCTCCATACAACACTCACTGCACACCTTATAAGAGTGACAGCTCCTTTATGTTTATACTCTGCTCCAGTATGTTGAGGAACGACTCCCAGGCTCTACCTCTCACGGTGCACCTCCCAGGCCTACACCTCCTTGGCCTACACCTCCTTGGCCTACACCTCCCAGGCCTATACCTCCCAGGCCTATACCTCCCAGGCCTACACCTCCCAGGCCTACACCTCCTTACACACAGAAATCACAATTGCTTGATGTATCAAATGAACAAATCCATAAGGGCCGTGACGAGGATTCGAACCTACGTCCGAGAGCATACCAAACGCTGCCTTAATCGACTGAGCTACGACATAGTATAAGAATTGCAACCAGAAGTTCTACTGAACTTACTTGGATCCTGCAGCCTCTCCGAGACACAAACCAGGATTTTACACAATTCCCCTCACGCACTCGAGCTCTGTCAATAGGCCGTTCTACCTCTTCGCCCTTACTTCATTACACACAGAAATCACAATTGCGCGATGCATCAAATAAACAAATCCACAACCTGGATTGTGTCTCGGAGAGGCTGCAGGATCCAAGTAAATTCAGTAGAATTTCTGGTTGCAATTCTTATACCATGTCGTAGCTCAGTCGATTAAGGCAGCGTCTGGGATGCTCTCAAACGTAGGTTCGAATCCTCGTCACGGCCCTTGTAGATTTGTTCTACACCTCCTTGGCCTACACTTCCCAGGCCAGTTCTTTCCTTACATAACCTAACCATTCTAACAAACTACCCTATTAAACATACAGTAATTCAAAGTAAAGGACTGATAACAAATAATGTGGTCCAGATGTTTGAGTATAGTGTGGTTAACTAGGACGAGCAACTTGTTAATGGGAAGTGTTGTGAGGACATGATGCTGCCAGTGCCTCGGCTAGCTCTCTCGCCCGTCCCTCGTACCCATCCTTTGCTCCTCCAGCACAAATAGGTTTGCAGCAGGGTACTGTAAAAGTGACATAAGTGGATGGCAGTAAATAATAAGTAACGTACTTGCTGACCTGGGGGCCAGATTCACGAAGCAGTTATATAAGCTCTTACGAATCTGTAAATCTTTTCTCAATTTTTGGCGGCTTTGTTTACAATTATTAAACAGTTAATGAGCTCCAAAGCACCAGGAGGCTGTTTTATAACAATAACAGTTGATTGGAAAGTTTTCATGATTGTAAACTGTTTAATGAATGTAACCAAAGCCATCAAAGATTGAGGAAAGATGTACACGTTCGTAAGTACTTGCGAAACTGCTTCATGAATCTGGCTCCTAGAGTGTGTGCAAAGATCCTTTACCACTAGAATCCACTCTTATAAGTCATCTTGATTATTTGGACTGTTTATAAGTTTTAAAAGGAGAAATATTCGGTGGTATATAAATGTTTACGATTACGGTACTGTACATTCAAAATAATGTCATGCTGTATATCACATCTGCATGTGGTGGCTTACTATACATTCAGGGTTGCAGTGTGACAAAGATGAACCTAAATAACTTTTAAGTAACATAGCATATTATACCAGAATATTACATTCTTGGTAATAGTTTTCTTATGCTGACCTAACTAAAGATCAAAACTAAACAGAAGATTTTATGGGATAGGTTAGGTCTATATTAAGTGATGAAACTTCTTCTTACGAGTGTGTGTGAATAAGTCAGAATTATTGGTCGTGTTGCAGTTACAAATACATTTAAATAGGATAAAAATAATGACGCAATGAGATTTATTTGTCTTGGCCAAGTTGTTTCAATCATGAAGGCTCAAAGTGGTATTTATCAGACTCCAAAGAAAGGAAGTAGTATTTCCACACTTTGTTTAAACTTTCATTGTGCATGCAAGTATATTATTATGTAAAATTAGAAAGTATGGTAAATATGTACCATTTTGTTTTCAGCATAATAGGTTTGTAAACCAGGCGCGTGAAATGGAACCTGATGTGGTGTTCGTGGGTGACTCGCTAGTGGCCAATCTTCTGTCCACCGATCTGTGGGAGAAGTGGTTTGCTCCCATGCATAGCCTCAATTTTGGTATTGGAGGGGACCAAACACAACACGTCCTTTGGAGACTTCGGAATGGAGAATTGGAATTTATAAAACCAAAGGTGATATTAAAAATTATAGTTGATCCTAAAAGTTGAGTTTTCGTCCATTAAAATGGATTCTGTGTTGTATTGTTATTAAAAATAAATAATAGTTATGAATTTGTTTTCCATTTTTTTGGGGGGGGAACAGGAAGCCTGTTAGGTGGATTGTAAATGGGAGCTTTCAAAGGTTAATTGTTGACATAGGTCAACAATTGACCTTTGCATGCAACCCACACCAGTTAAATAATTCCTGGGTACCTTTTTTCTGCAATGTGAATCTCCATACTGCATGAGAATTAAACCTGGGATTTTTCACATGTGAACCAATTGCATTTAATTATTACTACAATCTTAAGCTTTCAATGGGTGTGAAGATAAACACTTTACTTATAGTAGGGAGAGATAAAGGTGGACATCCAGTCCAGTCCCCCTCGCCCTTTATTTCAAGGGATACCAGGCAATTCCACACCTTGCTCTTTACCTTGAGGCCTTCAGTTTATGTTCCTAACATTACAATACAATACTACAAAATACAGTACTGAATGACTACTGTTCCAGCACAGAACACTATACTCAGCCCTGCCTCTCCCCCCATAAAAAATAGACAACCACCTAGCTGATGACCAGACCACACACTAGAAGGTGAAGGGACGACGATGTTTCGGTCCGTCCTGGACCATTCTCGGTCAACTTGAGAATGGTTCAGGACGGACCAAAATGTCGTCATCCCTTCACCTTCTAGTGTGTGGTCTGGTCAACATACTTCAGCCACGGTGTGACTCATCGCCTGCAACCACCTAGCTGTACAAAAATAAAAAGATAAACAATTATTTTATGCTTCTAATTGGTACTTTTTGCTAAGTCAGTCTTGATTAGTGATGTCTTTCTTATTCTGGGTTTCTGAATTGGATAACCAACATTTCTGATAGCAAATTCTTTGTTCTATCGCGTCTTCCCTGTACTGTAGTTCTGTAATCAAATTATATTGCAGTAAAAAAAATTAATTCTCCAAAACAAAATTGGATTAATTGGAGTACTATACTTGTTTATCTTAACATTTACTATATTACATCAGAACACTAACTAGATCAGACTTCGTTTGGTTCATCTGGTTTTTTGGTTAAGACAGGAGTCCACCATGTTGATTTTTTATGCATCTTTTAAAAATTGTACAAAATTTTATTTCTGACTTGATCACAAAGTCATAAGAGCATTGATGTGACATTGATCATATGTTCATATCTTTGAAGCCCTGCATTAAAAATTATTGTTGTTACAGGCAGTTGTGGTATTAGTTGGAACTAATAACCACAATCATACAGCAGCAGAAGTTGCCGGAGGTATTACAGAAATATTCCAGACAATTAGGGAAAAGCAGCCACAAGCCTATATAATAATTCTTGTAAGTATTTACTTTTCTTGATATTCTGTCAATATGTTAATGAAAACGCTTGGGTTTTCTGAGCTGGAATATGAGCCGAGAATATGAAACCAGGAAAAGACCAAGTTTAGTTTCGGTAATTGCCAAATGACTAAAATAGAAATATGGGTGTGTAAAGTTAAACAGAAAAGGTACCAGAACTGATGATGAAGCTTTTCCACTGGATATATATTTTTCTTCCAATAGTTTGTTTACTGGTAGTCATAAGTAACATGTATTTTTGTCAAAATAAAGTACAGTACTGTATATTGCAATACAGGTAGTACTGTATCTAAATAACACTAGAATTGCCAGCATGCAAACAATTTGTCCAAACAATTCAAACAATTTGTTTGAATGCTTATCTGAACAAGTTGGTGTTTCACTAAGGATCTTGGCAGTTGTAGGGTTATCTTGAGGTTATCTTGAGATGATTTCGGGGCTTTTTTAGTGTCCCCGCGGCCCGGTCCTAGACCAGGCCTCCACCCCCAGGAAGCAGCCCGTGACAGCTGACTAACTCCCAGGTACCTATTTACTGCTAGGTAACAGGGGCATTCAGGGTGAAAGAAACTTTGCCCATTTGTTTCTGCCTCGTGCGAGAATCGAACCCGCGCCACAGAATTACGAATCCTGCGCGCTATCCACCAGGCTACGAGGCCCCGTAGGGAATTGTAGTAGTATTACAGGTTATAATTGAATGACATGGGAGGGGCCAGGCACAGAAGATACCAAGGTTAGCTGTATGGGTTGTGGCTAGCCTGCTTGGAGAAGTAAAATTAACTGAATTTATGTGCATTGTGATATTTTAAAAATAATTGTACTGTATGATTGCCTTTCAGTCACTCCTACCTCGAGGGGAGAAGCCCAATCCTTTACGGGAGAAGAATAGTGAGGTCAATGCTCTCATAAAGGAAGCTCTGCGTCAAAATGACTTATGTCAGGTGAGACATAACTATAATGATTTAATATTATTAGATTAAAGATACTGGATTTAAATATTCAGTTATCACTTTTTGCTTTCATATTTTTACCTTAAAATTTGTTCTAAGAATTAATTATTATTTATACATCACTATATTTATAGAAGTAAAGCATATGGCAAAGTTAATTCAGAGGGATTCTTTGAAGTAATTAGCATGTAAAAGCTGCCCAAATTCTATTTTGCTTTCATGTAAAAGTTTGTGTAAAAAGTACAGTACCAATAGTGCTTATATTAGTGACTGGTTGGATATTAATGCAGGTGTTTGCCATGACTGCAAAATATCATCTTTGAAATTGTTTATTTGGATGTGGTCATGAGAGGGATCAAAGTACAGGTTATTAGATGAAGGTGTTAACCTTGTGTATGTCTAATTAAGTAGGAGTAATTTAAGTACATTAGACCTGATTTGATGTAGGCAGATGTAGTTCTTTTAGCAGAGTGATAGACATTTATGAAGAATATGAAAATTGTAATTGTGAGATAAAAGACTTAGAAGTGAATGTGAAAAAAATAATTAAATTTGATGGTGGAAAAGGAAATTGTGAAATAAATGTGAATGGTGAAGTTTTAGGACGTGGTTGATAATTTTAATTATGTAGAATGTGTGATTGTTGAGGAATTTGTGCAGTCAAAGTTGAAAGTAGGGTGATTCAGTGATTTTTTTTTACTAAAGCATTTCCCCCTCCCCATCCGGCCCGTTAGCGCCGTGAGGGGGGTTTAGTGGACGACTGCCGGAGTGTGATGATCCGTGGGACAGTCCTCTGTCCTTTTGTGGCCTTGCACTCCTGCTGCTGTCTTCTCTAATTGTGCCGGATCGCTTTTCCTTATGTTTCGTTTTTCTCCCCCCTCTTCTCCTATCTGCTTGTCGTTTCCTGCCGACCTTTTGCTTGTTTTGGTTATTCCTTTGGATTTCTTCTATTTTGACACCCGGGTGCTTGGGGAGGCATACTCTTGCACCCGTAGAACTGTAGTACCCAACATCTCGAGCGAGGGGAACCTTTTATTGTCAATCCCCCTTTCGTCGCTGAACCCGATCTCGACGGACTGACGGTTCTTAAGGTGGCGTTTGTGGGGCGTATACTCACGACGCACCCTTAGGGGGCCCCGGCATGATCGGCGATAACTTCTTGTTGGGTGTCCTGCCTCTAATTGTGGCTAAATGGTGGGTGTGGGGGCACATTCGTGGATGAATTTATCACTCTTCGTCTGTATGTCATTGAATGTTTCTGTTGTACCCTCTCGGGCTCGTGGGGTGGGCGACCAAGCCCCCGAGTCGGCCTGTCTTGGAAGACCGGGCTCTGTAGCCTCTGCTGCGGTGGGCCCCGACCTTGCTCCTCCTTTGACTCTCCTGACTTGTTCCCCCACCTCCCCTCCCTCCCTCTGTGGTTGGGTCGAGCCTCAAGCCCCCAGTGGTGACCACTTCGTCCCCTGGTGCGGCTAAGTCTCTCGTTGTGACTACTGCGCCTTTTGTCCCCCCCCCCCTCCCTCCCCCTCTCTCTCTCTCTCTCTCTCTCTCTCTCTCTCTCTCTGTGACCTCCATGGCAGTGACCATTTCCCCATCCTTGTTTCCTTTTTCTCTTTTCGTCCTTCCCTCTCCTTCCCTAGGTGGCAGTTTGCTAAAGCGGACTGGAACCTATTTACCCTCAGTGCTGCTCTCTCTGACCTCTCCCTTCAACCTCTCCATCGTGCTCTCCTCCTTTTTCATGACACTCTTCGACGCTGCCCTCCGCTCTATTCCTCGCTCTTCCTCTCGGATCCCTGGTGGAATGCAGACTGTGCTCAGGCTGTCCGCTGTAAGCGTGCAGCCTGGAAGAGGCACCGCCGTTGGCAGACGGCCGATTCTTTTCTTTTCTTTTGGAAAGCGAGTGTGGTGGCCCGGAGGGCCATCCGTATGGCTAAACGTGAATGTTGGGCATCTTATGTCTCCACAATTACGTCCGAAACTCCCCTGCCACAGATTTGGAAGCGTATCCGTAAAATAGCGGGTAAGTTCGTTCCCGGTGTTTCACCGGTCCTTCACCTCCGTGGTACTTGTGTGGCGAAGCCGTTGCAGGTCGCTACCAAACTGGGTTCCCACTTTTCTTCTGTTAGCTCTGGTCTTCATCTTCCCCAATCTTTCCTTCTTCGTAAACCTGTCCTTGAGTCTCGTCCTTTAGATTTCTGCACTCGTCTTCGACTTTCCTATAACGATCCCTTCTCTCTCTCTGAATTTCGTTCTGCCCTGGCCCTCTGCGGTTCTACGGCGGCGGGCTCTGATGGTATTCATTATGAGATGCTTCACCATCTCCCTCCGTGCACGTCTCGGTATTTACTGAGTCTGTATAATCGGATCTGGAAGTCGTCGTCAGTCCCTGAGGACTGGCTCGATGCCGTTGTCCTCCCTGTTCGCAAACCGGGATCTCTGGGAACTTCCCCCTAAGGACTTTTGCCCTATTGCCCTCACAAGTTGTGTCTGCAAACTCTTTGATCATATGGTTAACGTTCGTCTGATGTGGTTCCTGGAACACCATCACCTCCTCTCCCCTTCTCAATTTGGTTTCCGCAAGTGCCGCAGCACGACTGATGTCCTGGTGAACTTGGAGGTCTATATTCGTACTGCTTTTGCTGCGAAGACCTCCGTTGTTGCCGTCCTTTTTGACCTGGAAAAGGCTTACGACACCACTTGGCGATATCATATTCTATCCCAGCTTCATTCTTTTGGTCTTCGTGGTCATCTCCCTCTTTCTCCGCAGCTTCCTCTAGTCGTTCCTTTCGGGTGCTCCTTGGTACTGCTCTCTCTGCCTCTTTTCAGCAATACAAAGGTGTGCCCCAGAGTTGTGTTCTGAGCACTACTCTTTTTCTGGTTGCCCTTAATGGTCTTCTTTCCTCTCTTCCTTCGGGCGTCTTCTCCGCTCTCTATGTCGATGATCTTACCCTTTGCTGTCAGGGTGATGATTCGCCTCTCCTTCAGCGCCGGCTTCAACTTGCAATTGATGCCATGTCGTCTTGGGGCCATCGATCATGGCTTCAAGTTCTCTACTTCTAAGACTTGTGCCATGTCTTTTACTCGGAAACGGGTCGTTCTTCGTCCCTCTTTGTCATTTTATGGTCATCCCCTTGAGTACAAAGATTCGGCGAAGCTTTTGGGGTTATTCCTTGACACTCGTTTGTCTTGGTCTCCCTATATCTCTTACCTCCGTGTTGAGTGCTCTAAGGCCCTTACCCTCCTTCGGGTATTGTCCCATACTTCTTGGAGTGGATAGGCGCACTCTCCTTGCTTTACATTCCTTTCTCATCCTGTCTAAGCTCGATTTTGGTTGCCCTGCTTACTCTTCTGCTTCTCCTTCTACTCTTCGCCGTCTTGATGCTTTGCACCATGCTGGGTTGCGCCTCAGTTCTGGTGCCTTTCGTTCGACTCCCGTCCTTAGCTTGTATGTTGACACTGGCTTCCTGTCTCTCCAGGACTTCCGTGATCGCTACTGTCTTCGCTATCTTGCGTGGTCCTTACAACATCCTTCCTCTCGCATCTGTCGTGCTTTAACTTTTACCCATCCTGCGATTCCTGTTCCTCTTCACCACCTCCCTCTTTCTGTCCGGTTATCTCGCTTACAGGATTCTGTTTCTGTTCGTGTTTCTAATGTTTCTCCTCGTGTTGTTCCTTCTTTGTCCCCGTGGAGAGTCCCCCTTCCGCAGTTTTGTACGTCCTTGACCCACATCACTAAAGCTTTTACCCCTCCTACGGTTCTAAAACGCCTTTTCCTTGAGCACTTCTCTTCTCACTCCCGCTCCGTTTCAGTCTTCACCGATGGGTCTGAGTCTGCAGACGGTGTTGGCTATTCTGTTGTTTTTCCTGATCGCACTTATATGTGTCGCTTACCTCCGGAGACTAGCATCTTTACAGCGGAGCTTTATGCTATTCTCTATGCTCTTCGACTCCTGCTTTCTCGTTGTCAGTCTTCCTTTGTAGTTGTTGTTGACTCTCGTAGTGCTCTCATGGCTCTCGGGTCCTTTAATCCGGTTCATCTAGTAGTTGTCGAGATCCAGCATTGGCTGTTTCTTGTTCACAGAAAATTTAAATCGGTTGAGTTTTGTTGGGTTCCCAGCCATATTGGTGTGTCTTTAAATGAGCGTGCGGATGCTGCCACCAAGGAAGCTGTCCGCTCTTGTCCCACCTCTCGTAAAGGTATTTAATATTCCAACTTTTACCCGGTTATCCATTCCTCCATCCTTACCCGTTTGCAGCCTTCTTGGTCGTCTGTTACTGGTAACAAACTACGTACTCTTAAATGTTGTTTCCTCGTGGCCGTCCTCCTACCACTGTAACCGGCGTTGGTAAACAGCTCTGGCGAGGTTGCGTATTGGCCATACTCGCTTAACCCATGGTCACTTGATGGAGCGCCGCCCTGCTCCTTATTGTCCTAATTGCATTGTCCCTCTTACAGTCGTGTATGTCCTTCTTGAATGTCCTGACTTCCAGGACGAGCGTGTGTCTTGCTTTCCGACCGCCCCTCGCGGTCACCTGTCCCTCAATAGAATTCTTGGTGACTCGGATACTTTTGATATCGTTCGCCTTATGCGTTTTTGTTCTCGTATTGGCATCCTTGGTGATATTTAGCGCCCTCTGATTATTCCGCACATTTGATGGTGCTACATAGCCTTCCCGGTTTGGTGCCTTCTTTTGATAATTACTTACTTACTAAAGCATTTGTAGGTGCTGATTAAATTGTCATGTAAAGTATGAGATAAACTGTATATAAACTCCTGAATAAATGCTTGGGAATCTTTCTAGATTTATATCTTGAGGCAATACAACATTAGATGCCCAGCTCTGGAACATTGTCAATATGGAGAATATTCATCTAGATTCTACTTTCCTATTTGTACTTCATGTTGTTATTGCTATGGCTACCTCGCATTGTTCATGCTGGGGCTGCATCCCATTCTTCACACTGGAAGCTGCCTCGCGTTGTTCACGCTGGAGCTGCCTTGTGTTATTTATTGTTGCTGGCTCACATTACTCACGGCGAGTCTGCTTCGCTGTATTTGCACTGGGGCTGCTTCATTGTGTTCAATTTTATAAATTCCTGTTACTATTTTGTACGTAGTGATCATATCGCCTCTTTTTCTTCTTTCTTCTAATTTTTGGCATTTAATGCCTCTAACCTCTCCTCATAGCTCTTGCCCTTCAGTTCTGGGAGCCACTTAGTAGCATGTCTTTGCACCTTTTCCAGTGTGTTGATGTGCTTCTAAGATATGGGTACCACACAACCGCTGCATATTCTAGCTTTGACCTAACAAAAGTCGTGAAAAGTCGTGGTGTTCATGCTTGGATGTTTTTAGATTATGCATATGTCAAACACTTTCACACTAGTACAACTAATTTTGTCTGCAGTGTTAATTCTTAAACAAAAATAGTGAAGAGATAATGCGAGAGATTACTAGAGCAAACCAATATATTATTACATCATAGGCAGACAGTTAGAATAATATTTAACATTTATTAGCCATGTCTTTAGCTTCAAAACTAAATGTTCTAAAAATTTATGAAAGGTTTTGCAGCTTGGGAAAAAAAATTGTGTGAAATTTAGTTGCAATAGGTCATATAAAAAGTGAGCTGTTTTTACAGCAGGCTCGGTAAATGAATAATTTATTTTTACCTTGCTGGTGTTTCATGTTTTTTCCCTATCTTGCAGGTGGTTAATATTGATCGCGACCTTGTCCTAGGAGATGGAACGATAGACCACAGAGACATGTATGACTACTTACATCTGACCTCACAGGGTTACCAACGTGCCTTTGAGCCAGTCTACATGCTTTTGAGCAATTTATTGCATGAGGACGATGCTGTACTGCTCAATGACGCTGTTCTTGCATCCCCAGCGGCAGATAATCCCCCATCAGACAACCGCGTCACTTGTGCTGAATAGCTTGCACATTGTATTGGCCAACTCCACTGCAGATTAGCATCACTGCCCTGGGCACTTGACATCCTTGATCATACTGTATTGATGTATGCTTAATACAACACTGGCCTCGTGAAATACTGCTTCTGTATGCACTTCTGCTACACATGTGCATTGTTGCTTGTCGGGTCTGCTTTGCTTCTCGATCAAACATTCTTTCTCATGAGGTAATTAACTTTTTTTTTTTTCTTAACTTTGCTAATATTTTCAGCTTGTGTGGAAGTCTGTGACTAGTCCAAGGCTCGCACAGCCTTGCTTACAATTTTAGTTGTGTTCTGTAGACCTATACAGGTCTTTGTAGTATTGTGTGATTTGAAAGAAATTAACACTCATCAAAACTTGTATAGCTATCTCATAAATGGTGCTTTCCATTAAATATTAGTCCCATCTGTTCCTGAAAACAGTATCTATATATTTGATTGCATATACCAAATCTTTACAGTTGTATAAAACTTTTGCATGAAATTAACTTTTTAATTTTCATAAATAATATATAAAGCTGTTTAAATGGACGTATTTTAAAAAAAATTAAATTCACTGTAAGAAATGTACAGTAAAAACTTTCACACAGAGCAATGAAAAGTAAAATGTTACTAGTGTGAATATCAAAAGAACTGATCATTGAGGTAATACATTGGACATATTATCTTGTACAAGAGTGCAAAGTATGCTTTTCTTGGCTTAATTATCTCTGATAAATGTAGGCAATCTCAACTTGATTTTAGGTACACCTGTATTTTGTGCAATATGTCTCGTGAAAAATCTCTTATTAAAATACTTCATGCATAGTTATAAATGTTTAGTTTTCATTAGTGTGAGATTCTTTATTGTAGCAAAAGAAGGTTGTATAGAGTGAATTTCTTCAAATAGGTGAAAAGCTTTAAGTTGAGTGATAAAGACTAATGAAGATAACTTGTACATGCACAGAATACAGACTCGAGGAAGCAGCTTATGCTCGAGGCTGTCAAGGTGTGATGAGGCAGCCAGCACTGGGCTTGTGGTGAACAAATCATTCCTAGAAACCAAAGTCTAGAACAGAAGGACTTGTTAAGCCTGTTCTTGTGATACATACTAAGTGATCTTACATTCATTATTTAAACTTGTTTTTATTGATGATGTTACTTTTGTACATTGGCATTTCTTTGTTTATGTAATGGAACTTGTGCAGCTGCTGCTTTATATATATATATATATATATATTATATATATATATAATTTTTTTTTTTGTCATGAATGTACAGGACTGTGCTGTATGGTTTGGGTACATGCATACACATTTTAGCCACGTAAGTTATTTTGCATGTAGTAGTAACACTTTTCTGAAAGATGTAAATGTGAATTGCTTTTTATTTTGTATACCATATTTATTATAAACAAAGTTTTCTGTAGTTATATTTTGGCAGTTAATATTGGGGCATAATGTATTTGTGTTCAGTTCAGGTGCTGAATCTAGTCTCGGTGATATAGTTCATAATTACCCTATGAATTATGAAAAACTGTTTGAATGAGCATAGTGTCGTGTCCTTGTTCACCTACACCATAACCCGTGTTACTTGGAACTTTTTGTTCCAGGTAGCGAATGTTTAACAGCAACAACATTGTTCACCTAGAGCCACCACTGTTAGTGGTGTATGGGGAAACTCTTCACCCTGTTCATGTTTTAATCTCTTATTTCTAGGACCAACATTTTATGCCATAAAGTATTTATCTGAGTGTAACTGTTCAGTTAATGAATTTAATAACAAGGCTTAATTTTTTTGTATCTATTTATTCTTTGTTATCAATTATTAGCTGTTGCATTTGCCTCAAACAAAAATAAAATCTGCATGATGGAATTTTTTGTACTTCCCTGGGGTTTGTTTGTTTATATTGTACTTTGTATTTAATTGACATTGCACCATGGTTTTTTACCAGTACGTACTTGATATTTTTATTGTATGTATTATAACAATAGGGTCAGGAAGAACTGTGATGCATGTATGAGAGGTCTGTTGATGAATGCGATGTCACTGATGTAATGTGCCGACGATACTCTGGTTTGACTCATAATTAACAACCAGATTCAAAAATGTTTAAAATTTTTGTATTGGTTGTGTAGATATTTAAAGGACAACAAGGAGTTATACAATAGTTAGCCTCATGCACTGCAAACATGTATTAGTAGGACATTTGTTTACAATGCACGTTGCTTCAGTGTTTTAACATGGCAGTCGGTCAATATTTATTGTGCCTATAGTATTGAAGAAAAATAAGAAAGTTATCTACTGGAAGATTAATATAAATACAACTCTGCATGATACAACATTGCCCTTAGTACATGTGGTCCAGAATTCAACATTAAGTTCATTGTTTCTGTGAAACCAAACTTTGTTAAAGTAAAAAAAAAAAAAACAATTCTGTGATTAAGTGTCTTGAAGGATGATACCGAATAAAATCTATATTTACTAGTTTAATTCATACATTGGTCTTATTTTAGATGACTCCCTACAAGCTGTGACGCTTTAACTATCAAGATACTGTACTCAAAAATATAATAATGTTTTTTCATGTTGCAACGTCTGAATTTTCAAGATAAGTCTGATGCATCATTTTTCTTCAAATGTGCAAATCTCAGAATTATTAGATTCATAGTGTAAAATACAAAGGTGCAACATTAACTTTGACATATGTGAATGATAGAATAACATAAAATGCTCTTTCCTACTATTATACAAGTTTATCTTAGGTTTGAATCTAGGCCTTTTATTGTCTTGCTGTAATCACTTGCACTTTAGAAATGAAGCTTGACACCATGATAACAAATGAATTAATTAGTATTTCCACTTAAATTTGACATTTTTCAGATTTTATTTATTAAATACTGTATACTTGGTAATTAAAATTTTCATTAACATTCGAGTTCTTATGACCACTAAATGGATAACTGACAATTTGTTTTTAAACAATGCATTTATTACAAGATATTTATTCCTTTACTGTAACAATTCAAGTTCAATAATTACTGTGTAAGGTAAATGTTGAGTAGCTGTTCTGTTTAGTTGGTCTTCTTTTGAAATGTACAGTTCAGGAAGCTAGTGCAGCTCATGTGTTTCTATATGAAATTGATCAATGTGTGAAAACTAACTTATATTTCTGCTTGTTTGTCACTTATAACTAAATATATTTGTTTACCTGCAGTTTAGTACAGTATTGTACTGTATATTCAATGTTGTTATTTTGGAAGGGGGGAAATGCTAAACTTTAGTAATTTAATTTTGTCTTAAATTTGAAGCTTACTCTTGGCTGTTAGGCATTACCTGCATGACTAATTTATTAAAATTTAGCTTTAATGTTGTCCTTGAATTTGAGGTCTTAAATTTTTAAGTTTTGATTTCTGTGATTGGAATAAAAGACTGGTGACAATATAGCAAAGCAAACCTACTAAGACTCCTGTGCACTGTTTTATGTATAATTAAATTATTATACAATTTGCTTTATTTTTTATACCTTATGGCCATTGTGTGAATGCTAGTATTTTGAAGTTACAGTACATACTTATAAATAATGCAACCCATCCTCTTGTTAGGCAGTTGTTTTTGTAACTGTGCAACATAGTACAAACATTTATGTACTAAGCATTTAGTATAATTTTGTATAATAATGTAACAACTAAAAAAAACAAATTTTAGTTAGTGGTAATTTTTTATTTACTGAAGTCTCGAAGGCTGGCCTAAATGTTTTTTATGCTCAAATCAAACACACTACATATAATGTGTGGATATAAATAGGAGCTACCTTGGATATTAGGTGTGTATAAATAGCAGCTGCCTCGTATGGGCCAAGAGGCCTTCTGCAGGCAGTTATCTTCATTATGTTCTTATAAACCTGGGTTTATTATAGTTCTACATTCTCATATAAATACAACTTTGATAAACACAAAGGCATACACAAACATGTATCTATATACACACACACAGGCGGTGGAGACCAAAACTGTCTAGTTTCAAAGCGTTATAAGTAATGGGAAGACGGAACACTGCGAGTGTAGCTCTTGTCTTGTAACTACACTATGGTAATTACACACACACACAACAGGGGTGGGGAGGCCTTGTGGCCGAGTGAACAGACTTTGGGGTCGTAGTCTTGAGGGCCCCAAGTTCGATTCCCGGCCGAGGCAGAAATAACTGGGCAGAGTTTCTTTCACCCTGATGCATTTGTTCACCTAGCAGTAAACAGGTACCTGGAAGTTAGACAGCTGCCACGGGCTGCTTCCTGGGGGTGTGTGCCATGTGTTAGAGAAGTATATGTAATAGACATAACATCAGAAAAAATAGATCGGTTAGAAAGGCGGGGTCCAAGACCTAACAGCTCGATTCTGCAGGCACAAATAGTAAACACACACGCATGCCAAATGTATTAGTACAGTACAATACAGTTTATAAATTAACCCTGAAGTCAAGAACAGCAGCTTTGAACACTGCGCCACATAAATTATATATACCAGTAAACTTACAAACGTTTTGACCTTACCATCTCCTTGGGTGTGATTTGGTAGTTATTTCTTAGGTTATAAAGAAGTAATTATCAATCAGGAAAAAGAACTTGGCTATATGGAGTATGATAGAATATGGTAGGTCCTGAGGAACACTCCATCTCTCACATTTGAGTACAATACTAGTACTCTGTGGTCAATTAAGCGTAATATTTGTTATGACAGCAACAATATTTTAGTGCTACTGCTGCTTTAAGGCAACTGCCTCTTTGTAAAACCTGTCCATCTGGGGAACTGACTGGCCGAAGGTCTCCGGCATGGCCCTAAGGAGAAAAGTGGAGCTGATGACGGTGACCACAGCGTAGCCCAGGAAGGTGGTGTGGGCACCAAGGGACGACACACTCCACCCAAATGTCTTTGTGATAATAAAAGCCGATGCCCAATTGACAGCTACTACCACAGCCACAGCTTTTCCTCGCACTCGACTGGGCATTCCTTCCCCTAGGAACACCCATGGTACAGGGCCCCAGCCAAGCGCAAAGCCAATCATGTAAGCTAAGAGTGCCAGTATTGGCACCAGGTACAGAGTTTTAGCTATGGCGGCTATGGCGCCTCCTGCACTCTGTGCCCAGAAAAAGAGTGACAAAGTGAGGAGGGAACCCACAATTACAGCAGTTGACATACGGAGAAGATGGCGCCGCCTAAACTTTGCCAAGGCGACCATACCGACGAAGGTTCCCAGGAAGTTGACAACGCCTAGCAACACAGCCGAGGAGCTGCCTTTCTCACCCTCCCCACTAGCGTCGAGGATATTGGAGGCGAAGAACACTACAGCAGTGATGCCTGTGGTCTGCTGGGCCACCATGAGGGCAGCCGACACACTAACCGGCCACAAATTGGGCGGGAGTATAATGTCTCTCATACTGACGCTTGCGTTGCTCTCGCTGCTGCTGCAACTGCTGTTGATTTCCTTCTGCTCCATTTCAGCCTGGTCTGTGCTGCGTCGCAGCTGCCGCAGAGCGGTCATCGACGCCTCTGTCTTTCCTGTTAAAATTATTTTTCTCAGCACGTTTTTAACAAGGAATATTTATTTATGATATGCCGCCACTTTACGTCCACCAACCTGAGTGTGGTGGTCATAAATGTGAAGAAACACCACAAAACATTTGTGACATCAGTGGCTAGAACGTATAATATCTAACTTCACGTTAACATTTGAAGGTTGTTTGTAATGGGTGTAGAACACTTTGGGATCGTACAGGCAATTGTTTACTGTAAATTTTGTAAATTTTTGTACTAAATCTGAAACTTCCTTGATAGGTGTAATAGAAGCCAACAGCACCACACCAGATATCTCTTCGATATCTCCAGTCAGGCTAAATCTGTGCAAACACTCCATGCAAATAAAAGGGCCCACCCAGTCTTTGGAACTCACTCCCTGATGAAGTAAAAAAGTGCCCAACCCATACCCTGTTCAAAAGTAAAACCAAAAAAGTACCTAATTTCATCCTCATAGTTTCCTACCTTGTGCTTCAAACTCACACTATATCTTGTACTACCCACTTCCCCAAAATTAGTACCTTAGACTAATTAAGTATTTAATCTTTACCAGTATAATCACCTCTGTCAATTTATTGGTTGGTAATCTCACCCAACCCATTGTACCTTCTTTAAATCAAATGTGATATTATTATACTTGGGGTTTGCACTTCTAAATTTTACTTACTCAGGCTAAAATACTAGATTATTAATTCAAACAGGAAAGGGATAGAAAGGAGCCACGTACCAGTACGTGTGAGGTAGTATGGAGTCTCAGGTAGAGGGTACAGGAGGAACACAACAGGGAGGCACATCGCTGCCCCCAGCCACGCCAGACCCCTCCAAGTGAGGTATTGCCCCGCTGCGAAGCTCACAAGCAGACCTGCAATAGTTTCTCTCGTCACCACCCTCTACAACACTACTATAATCAGTCACTACCTATCACCCAAGGAACAGACTTTCATTGTGGTGAGTACCGGGAGCTCTAATTGTATTTCCTGGAGCCTGTAGGGTCATTCAAAAAAAGAGCTCTTGTAAAATTCACCCAAGTTACCCAACACACCAGGGAAGGTAGCTATCATGGTGTGTGCAACTTACCCAAGTTACCCAGCACACCGGGAAAGGCACTCATAATGTTCCTCAGCTCCAGCTCCACTATCTCCGGCAGGAAGACAGAGCCAGCGACGGCCTGCACGCCCATACACACTCCGCCCAACATGCGTCCTGCCACTACCCCGCCCACACCTCCAGACACGGCTATCATCACCCACGCTGCAGGAAACACAACACAAGTTGAAGGTTAACACAAAGTGATAAAAGGCTGCTTGACTCCACACGCTTATGCTTAACTATACTCCTAAAGCGTACAGCTTTAGCATAGAGTCCCATAATACAAAACATGACACAAATCTACAACAAAATAAAACATTTGGATACGCAATAAGACGCGTTCCTCATCCGAGGAAACTAGACTGAGAAAATGACTGATTACTTCACCAGCCTGGAGAAAAAAAGTCATATAGGGAAAATAGGAAAATAATCAATGTTCAAATTGAGGAATGCAGAACGACGCGATATAAATAGTAACGTTACAAACAAATGAGTCGCAGGGATGCCATACATTTTTTTTATGTAAGAGTTGTAGAGAAAGTTATGCACAGCACCAGTGGTCAAGAGAACCATTAAGACGTACACAGAACCAGTGGCCAGGTGAGATGAAGGAGTGTAGCCCTGCGGCCCAGACGCTCCACAAGCGGCCCAGAGACCACACTGCCCAGCAAGGCGCACGCGGGCATTACAGCTCCAATCCACGACTCCTGCAACACGTTAATCCATTATTCATCAACCCAATACTACTCCAACTCACATCAGGTCATTAGTAATCACCCATCTACTCCTGCAACAAACGTTATTTTTCATCAATCCACAACAAACACGTCAAGCCATTGTTCAACCACACGCCAAGACATTTTTTATCAATCCACGATTTCGGAAATTCATGGCATTATTCCAGCCTATCCTCAGGCTATGCTTGTCATAATATATAATTGTCTAAGTTGCGGCCGTCAACAAAAGATACGCTCATAAATTGTAACTCGCTATATATTATAACAAAATATATTTTCTCATACATATAAACTAATATTAATATATATTATAATGTAAATACTGCAGTATGATGGACTTGCAGTTTGAGACGTGTGCTTGTTGATGACACAGGGATCGCTAGCAGCAAGGGAAGTCATCTCTGCTATATGGGGGGGAGCAATCTCAAGTTGAGTTGGGGCAGTAATGAGCAGCTGTAGCAGCTCATGTCTGCGATGGGGCTGTCCCAGATAGATGGTTGGTGGCCTTTAGATGGAGCTGGCCAGATAAATCCAATTGGTGGTGCACATATTGTCTAGGTAATCGGGAAGACTTTCACTGAGGTTAGGATAAGACCAAGGCCAGGACTTCAGGTCGGATGGGAAATTGCTTTCACTGTGGGTGATTATATATAAACTAATTGCTTTTACTGTGGGTGATTATATATAAACTAAGTGCTTTCACTGTGGTGATTATATATATAAACTAAGTGCTTTCACTGTGGTGATTATATATATAAACTAAGTGCTTTCACTGTGGTGATTATATATATAAACTAAGTGCTTTCACTGTGGTGATTATATATATAAACTAAGTGCTTTCAGTGTGGTGATTATACATGAACGTATGACCACAAAGGAAAATGAAACAATAAATTACACGAAACCGCTTAGGTAAAGTTCTTGTTTCATTTTCCTTGGTGGTAATATTTGTTTTCATATACATCATCATCATGTGTTAATTCTTCGTGTGTGTGTACTCACCTAGTTGTGCTTGCGGGGGTTCAGCTCTGGCTCTTTGGTCCCGCCTCTCAACCGTCAATCAACTGGTGTACAGGTTCCTGAGCCTACTGGGTTCTATCATATCAACATGTGAAACTGTGTATGGAGTCAGCCTCCACCACATCACTGTCTAGTGCATTCCATCTGTTAACTACTCTGATACTGAAAAAGTTTTTTCTAACGTCCCTGTGGCTCATGTGGGTACTCAGTTTCCACCTGTGTCCCCTTGTTCGCGTCCCACCCGTGTTGAATAGTTTATCCTTATCTACCCTGTCAATTCCCCCCTGAGAATTTTGCATGTGGTGATCATGCCTCCCTTTACTCTTCTTTCTTCCAGTGTCGTTAGGTGCATTTAACGCAGCCTTTCCTCGTCACTCATGCCTCTTAGTTCTGGGACTAGCCTAGTGGCATACCTCTGAACTTTTTCAAGCTTCATCTTGTGCTTGACAAGGTACGGGCTCCATGCTGGGGCCGCATACTCCAGGATTGGTCTTACATATGTGGTATACAAGGTTCTGAATGTTTCCTTACACAGGTTTCTGAAGGCAGTTCTGATGTTAGCCAGCCTCGTATATGCCGCCGATGTTATTCTTTTGATGTGGGCTTCAGGATACAAGTTTAGTGTGATATCCACTCCTTGATCTTTCTCTCTGTCCGTTTCATGTGTGTCAATCATTCACGCGTTTCATGTGTGTGTGTGTGTGTATGTGTGTGTGTGTGTGTGTGTGTGTGTGTGTGTGTGTGTGTGTGTGTGTGTGTGTGTGTGTGTGTGTGTGTGTGTGTGTGTGTGTACACTGGTAAAATTAGTTTACAAACAATAAGGACTGGCCTGTTCCTGGGTGATGGAGAAGTGTGGGTCGGCTCGCATGGATGGGAGCGCGGGGGAGGTGTAGCCCATGGCCAGGGCGCCCGCCAGGCCCCCCATGCCCACGGAGGCCGCCCCCATGGCCTGGAAACAAATACACTTATCTGTAGACATGTATCATATTACATTACCTGTCCAACAACTGCTTCACAATATTCCTGTTTTCTCATACGTGTCTGTTAACCGGTTGCAAGTTAGCAAGATTTAAATGTTTCCTTGAACTGGACTAGCATGGCGGTGTGAGCCGGTCACGTCCTGCATTCAAGATCAATAACCGAGAGGATATAGTCACTATATATAAGATACTGAGAGGGACAGACCATGCTGGAAACACACATGTGTCGAAGTCAACAATCATATGGCCGAGGGTGCTCACCAAGTGGAATGCAACGAAAAAAAGGTTGTAGAAACCACCTGTACATACAATTGTAATCAAGTTTAGTTACGACATAGAAGTGGAAGGCCAGGAAAGTTGAAACCAAATACAAGGTACCCGGAACAACAGGAGTAAAGGCTCGCCATAGTGAACAACACAGTGGGTACGAGTACAGTGGTAGTGCCCCCGGAGCTCGTAGGGGTGCCCCTACATGCCCCGGAGCTCGTAGGGGTGCCCCTACATGCCCCCGGAGCTCGTAGGGTTGCCCTTACATGCCCGGAGCTCGTAGGGGCGGTCCTGCATGCCCCTGGAGCTCGTAGGGGCGGTCCTGCATGCCCCTGGAGCTCGTAGGGGCGGTCCTGCATGCCCCGGAGCTCGTAGGGGCGCCCTTACATGCTCCGGAGGTCGTAGGAGCGCCCCTACATGCCCCGGAGCTCGTAGAGGTGCCAATTCCCCCCTGAGCGGCTCAGGGGTAATACAGCCAGCGGCTCACTACATTAATAGCGAGCCGCTGGCTTCCTCGTCGAGGCCTGTCATGACACACATGTAGAACATCTGTCAACACACCTGTCATAGCACTACTGGAAGTAGTGTCAGGTCAGGCAAACCCGTAGAGCACTTGTCATAACACATGTACACTATGACACCTGTGGAGCACCTGCAAGTTGTGTAACATTATCTCCAGGTAGAGGACGTCCACCACCACACTGTACTGCAGGTGGCGTCCTGCAGGCAGGCTCAGGCATGGCACCTCTTGCTGCCCCTCACCCCGACCTGCTGCATCAGTAACACCTTTGCAGTGTTCACGTAAGCTCCTTGAGCAGCCTAGGTGAACACTGAGGCCACACACACACACACACACACACACACACACACACACACACACACACACACACACACACACACACACACACTCTGAGACCTCACAAACAAGCGACCTCACATCACCATTAAGTGCTTAATTGCACACTAGTTTCTCTATCAGCTATCTCACCCTGTCAGAGTAAAAGAGACAAATGTATGTGTATGCATGTGTGTGTATATATATGTATGTGTATATGTACGTATATGTTTATGCATGTGTATAAAGTATATGTGGAAGCTGATCAGAATTACATTTCACCTTGTAAATGTACATTAATGACACTATGTAAAAGACACATCGAACACTTTATGTAGGGCAGACGTAAATCTGCGTAACTATGTATTTACGTATGTAGGTTAGCCTAGCATTTTAATAGCACCGAATCACCTTCTGTGGTTGATTGTTCAATAAATCCCTTAACTATATGTTTAACACATCTCTAACCCTGTCCATGGAGAACAGAAGAAATGTATACATGCTGGTTATCATTGTAAATGTGTGGCCACGTCTGTGGTAGAAAATAATAATAATAATAATAATAAATCCTTCTGTAAATCGTAAAGTAGGAGTTTACTCTACTTAACGCTGACGTTACTGATGGTGTGTGATGATATCTTACTCACCTGGTAGATCACATAAGTAGTATAGCCCGCCTGCTGCCCCATGCCGCCCGCTGCTGTGGTCGCTTATACTCCAACACCGAGTCTCCTGCCAGCCACCTTCCCCGTCTCTGTTCCCAATATAATTGTTATCTATAGGATCAGAAGATCTAGTGTTGCAGTGCATTTCAACTTAGATTAAATTGGTAAATACATTTTATTAATTTGTAAAGAACATATATATATTTATTTATTTATTTATTTATATACAAGAAGGTACATTGGGTTTATGAGAGTACATAGCATTGAGGTTTTTACATTCTTTGTAAAGCCACTGACACGTATAGCGTTTTGGGCAGTTCCTTAATCTAACAGATAATTTTAAGTACGTAATTTGTAGCAAAATTTGAAAATTTTTAACAGGTACATTGTAAGAAAATTTGACAAAGATTAGTAGCTATACATTAAAGTAAAATTTGAGGATTATCAACAGGTACATTGTAGCATAATTTGAGGATTTTTAATCTAAGAAAATTAATCTAAGACTAAACAATATCCAAATTAGTAACAAAGTTGATGGTAAATTCCTTGATGAACTCATCGATAACAAGCTGAATTTCCAGGAACACATTCTAAATATTGCAAACAAAGTTTCTAAAACTGTTGGCATTCTTTCTAAGATCAGATATTATGTACCTCCCCCTGCCCTGGTGACGCTCTATTACTCTCTCATCTATCCATATCTCAACTATAGTATTTGTGCTTGGGGTTCTACTACCCAGAACCAGAACTATCAAGGGGGCCTCGTAGCCTGGTGGATAGCGCGCAGGACTCGTAATTCTGTGGCGCGGGTTCGATTCCCGCACGAGGCAGAAACAAATGGGCAAAGTTTCTTTCACCCTGAATGCCCCTGTTACCTAGCAGTAAATAGGTACCTGGGAGTTAGTCAGCTGTCACGGGCTGCTTCCTGGGGGTGGAGGCCTGGTCTAGGACCGGGCCGCGGGGACACTAAAGCCCCGAAATCATCTCAAGATAACCTCAAGAAGAAGATAACCCAAAATCACCTACGTCCTCTAATTACCCAACACATAGCTGCTATTAGAACAATACCTAACTCAAACACTGACTCCTCAAGCATTATTATAATCAACTTCTTTCATTCTATCACTCCATAACGAAAGTAAATGAGTCATTCAGTCCTGGATGACGTGCTATGTAGGTCAGTGCGAGAGACGTCTCGACTTGCTCTAAGAGTAAACATGGAGGTATATACCTCTCTCCCGGCGGTCAGCGCGCTGACACTGAAATATCAGCAGCAGCAGCAGACAGGTGTGATAAAGGTGTGCAGAAACAACTGAAGCAGCAACAAGAGTGACACAACTTCACGTGTCCCCGCTGCTTCTGACACAGTTTCACGTGTCCCCCGCTGCTTCTGACACAGTTTCACGTGTCCCCGCTGCTTCTGACACAGCTTCACGTGTCTCCGTTGCTTCTGACACAGTTTCACGTGTCCCCCGCTGCTTCTGACACAGTTTCACGTGTCCCCCGCTGCTTCTGACACAGTTTCACGTGTCCCCGCTGCTTCTCACACAGCTTCACGTGTCTCCGCTGCTTCTCACACAGCTTCACGTGTCTCCGCTGCTTCTGACACAGCTTCACGTGTCCCCGCTGCTTCTGACACAGCTTCACGTGTCTCCGCTGCTTCTGACACAGCTTCACGTGTCTCCGCTGCTTCTGACACAGCTTCACGTGTCTCCGCTGCTTCTGACACAGCTTCACGTGTCTCCGCTGCTTCTGACACAGCTTCACGTGTCTCCGCTGCTTCTGACACAGCTTCACGTGTCTCCGCTGCTTCTGACACAGCTTCACGTGTCTCCGCTGCTTCTGACACAGCTTCACGTGTCTCCGCTGCTTCTGACACAGCTTCACGGGTCTCCGCTGCTTCTGACACAGCTTCACGGGTCTCCGCTGCTTCTGACACAGCTTCACGGGTCTCCGCTGCTTCTGACACAGCTTCACGTGTCTCCGCTGCTTCTGGCAGCTTCCTTTGTTTTGGCTGCTTCGCTTGAGGAGTCTAGGCCAGGAGAACTATTTTCCCAGTTTCAGCTGAGTCTCTCATTAAGATCAAAATTTACTATAGGGGTTATTTTAAGCAACAACAGCAGCAGCAACAGCAGCAGCAGCAGCAACAACAGCAGCAGCAGCAGCAGTAGCAGCAGCAACAGCAGCAGCAGCAGCAGCAGTGACAGTACTGTCTTCACCACCAACGTTGCCGTCACCTCAGGGTAACATCGGCAACATACGGGAAGCAAACATTAGACCAGCATTTAAAACCCTAAGTAATGATTCTTTCGACACAATCTACACCATCTACGTGAGACTAATGCCAGAATATGCAGCATCGGCATAAAATCCACATCTCCTGAAGCATTAAACTAAACTTGGAAAACTGCAGAAGTTTGCAACAAGACTTTAGTACCTGAATTACGAGAACTAAGATACGAGCATAGATTAAGGGAATTCAACCTTACAACTTTAGATAAAAGGAAGAGTAGAAGGGATATGATAAGGACATACAAAATACAAACTACTGAGGGAAGTGTAGGTGGTGGAAACGCAAGAGTCAAAGAAGTGTAAGAAAATTATTTTACCTGTACATGTGGTCATTAGCTGTCAAACTTTTGCCTCATTTAATAACAAAAACAAAAAGTACCTAATTTCATCTTCGTAGTTTCCTACACTGAGCTTTAAATTTGCTCTGTATCTAGTGTTACCCCAATCTCCCAATCTTTATGTACTTAATTCAAACAACTTTATCATTGTGTTCATTGCTGTCTTCTTTTATGTGTTAGCCATATGCTGTATTGTGCCTACTAAGTTTTGTTAAACTACCATTCAAGCTGTCATTGCAATCATTCTGAGCTACCTATGTGCTTTAATATACCTACAATTTTTCTATCATCTTTTATTTTTTTTCTTGCTATGTAACTGTTATCATTTTTATAAATTTTGCAAGTATTTACCTACTTATAAGTTTCTTAGATTAAGGACCTTCCCGAAACGCTGCGCATACTAGTGGCTTTACAAGATTGTAATTACTATGCTATGTATCCTCACAATCCCAATGCACCTTCTTGCATATATATATATATAAATATATATATATATATATATATATATATATATATATATATATATATATATATATATATATATATATATATATATATATATATATATATATATATAAATAAATAAATAAATAAATAAAGTGGAATGCACTGAAACAAGAAATCAAGGAAGACATCCCCATCCAAAACCTCAAGGCCAGATTCCAGCCAGATAAGACAAACATTACGAACGTCATAAAAAAGACCTGAGGGTTGGAGGGTTGAGTTCACACCTGAACCTCTCTCTCGAAATCAAACGGATAACATCAGAGGCGTATGCTAAGTTGGCGTATGGCCAACTGCCTGAACGTCTATCGGGATGTTGTATACCACATGCTAAACTAGTTTTGTAATATCAAGTTCAAGTTCAAGCATGGTTAGTAAAACAAGAAAATACATATCAACGGAATAGAGTAGCTTAGGCTTCACCAGCGTGGAGTCCTTAACTGGTCAAAAACAAGACGAATGTGGAGAAAAAGTCCAAGGTATGCTTCTAAACTAGCCCCAGAGCTGAGAGGTATGAGTGATGAGGAACTACTACATCAATTAACATCAAGTCACTGCAAGATATTAGATTTAGAGGATGCGTGATTAGGACGTACAAAACTTTATGGGGAACTGACAGGACAGATAAAGGCAGATTTCTGGTGTAAGAGAACTGAACTGATGCAATGACAAGAGCCCAGTAAGCTCGGCAACTGTAGACCAACGGATTGTATGTTAACAGATGAAACCAAAAATCAAAATCTCAAACCCTGCAAGCACAATTAGGCGAGCAGTGTTAGGTTATGTAAGTACCATACCGACGCTGCCACCCCCCACCCCTTGCGTCACCACCACCCCCCTGGCGTCACCACCACCACCCCCCTGGCATCACCATCACCCCTGGCGTCACCATCATCCCCCCTGGCGTCACCATCATCCCCCCTGGCGTCACCACCACCACCACCCCCCTGGCGTCACCATCACCACCCCCCTGGCGTCACCAAGGCCACCCTGTGTAGCCCTCCTCACCTTTAAATATACTCCAGATGCTGAACTAAAAGGTTTCAACACTTTACAGCCGCAAGATAAAGTACACCTGGAGGGTTGTGGGACGTTGATCCCGTGTTTGATCGTTTGTTCACTTGAGATAGCTCGTTATCAGCTGCGTCTGGGTACAAGTGACACCATTAACAATTCAGAGGGTTTTCTTCTTTTTGGGAGATGTACAAGGTACACGCTGCTATACCGGCAATTAAAGGTATACCTTAATCTCATCCTACAGGTGATAGTGGAAGGTGCACCGTGCCATACTCATCCTGCAGGCGGTGGTGTATGAGGGTGCACAATAAGCTACCGCTCACAGCATGAGTATGGGGTGCACAAGAAAGTGCCGCTTACAGGATGAGTATGGGGTGCACAATAAGCTACCGCTCACAGCATGAGTATGGGGTGCACAATAAGCTACTGCTCACAGGATGAGTATGGGGTGCACAATAAGCTACTGCTCACAGCATGAGTATGGGGTGCACAATAAGCTACTGCTCACAGGATGAGTATGGGGTGCACAAGACAGTGCCGCTCACAGGATGAGTATGGGGTGCACAAGACAGTGCCGCTCACAGGATGAGTATGGGGTGCACAAGAAAGTAGCCATGGCTGCAGCAACGGGGGAGCTGAACCTACAGACGAGTCGAGAAGGTATAGTACTAGAATTATTTTTCCCTCCGTGTTAGTATAGGGCAAATCGAAACCATTTGGTGCATTAGGGACCGACTCCTTACATGGATTTAAACGTAGATATATGACAAACATCACGGTATTAATTATCACACCCGCCAATTATTGGTCGAGCTAGAGGTCAGTTCTAGCAGCTGAGTAAACACCCACTTAGCTCTCTAGTCTGGTGAAGACTGCTAGGTAACTTAGAACTTACAGCTGTACACATATGGTGTAAACACTCACTGTACCTGGAGGCAGCGATCTTGCGGTGTAACTGTTGCTGACCAAGGGGCCGTCTGCTGCTGGGGCCTGAAGCACAAACTGTGATATGCTTAGTAATGGTTACACGGTTCCTTTCGAGGTGACGCCACGGACTGATGAGGTGACTCCACGCACTGATTCACACTCAGATACGGTATCAGGCAAGTGGTGCTTAGGATACTGGGCCCAGAAGCTGTATATGTACTGGCCAACACAGCTGTTGTGTACTACTACACTCGCACTCAGCAGGACGTCACCCCTGGCTCCATCTTCTCCTGCTCCCACTCCTGCCAGAACTTATCGTATAACGTAAAATGGCAGAGGAGATGGAGTGCACGGAGGGTTAGTACTGAGAGTCGGTACCAAGAGTGAGTGCTCGGCGTGAACACTGAGAGTGAGCTCAGAGAGTGAGAGGTTGTAGTGACACGCTAGACTAGAGGAGCGTGATCACCACTTCCTGTGTTGTTAACAACATCTAGCCTCTATCACAACACTCTCCCCATTACTCAATTTCCTAAGTTGTGTTATTCTCGTCACAGGTTAGCGAGTGTCTTTGTTGTGGTGTATAATACCGAGTGTTTAGCGCCACGCTGCTCCTACACTAAGCTGTTAAAGCTGCTAATCTTCCTCCAGTAATTTTCACATTATCATCACCTTCGCTCATAGGCTACGGGTTTTACGCTCTTGTATAAACATCATTTTACACCATAACTTTAATAATATCTACTTGTTTTATTAGCCAAATATTTATTGTGCTAATATTAACTCATTAATCACTTAATACCCTATATAATTAAATAATAATTAATATTTAACACAACAACGTTAATAATTGTTAGCGTTATTAATCGACTTGTAAGAAACTCCGAGTTTGTAAAGCAGCTAAAATGTTCTTAATTTTAGTATTGTCCATTTAGACTAATTGTTACTAACCAGCGCCTATTTTTGTAAAGATATTGATAAATTCAGTTAACCAACCACCACCACACGAACCATACATTGTTGTTGTTGTTTTAGATTTAGCTACTCGGAACGAAATGTCAATGTAGCACGGGCTATGGTGAGCCCGTAAGTGTGCTCACCATAGCCCGTGCTATGGTGAGCACCATAGCAAATAAATAACCATACATTATTTATGTCCCATTGCATACTGGAGATGAAGGAGGGGTGAAGCACAGGTTCATCGTACACTGATGTGTCCACATACGAAACCTTTACATATCTTTTCTCCATTGTGGCAGCTTAGTCTGTATTTATTAAACAGTTTACGAGCTTTGGAAACGCTGCGAGCTCATTCTCGACCCAAGGAGCTCAAATACTGTTTAATAAATGCAAACTCAGCCGCAATGATTAAGAAAAGATGTACAGGTTTCGTAAGTGTTTGTTGAATCCTGGGTGAAGACTACAAGAAGGTGAGGGCTTATCTGCAAGAAGTGCAGAGATAGAAAGAAAAAGAAAGAAAGAAAATATAAAAATATGATCGAATTAATAGCTGGAAAATGTGTGCATTGCCACGGAGCAGTTCATTCTACAAATAATAAAAAGAAGTGAACTAGAAAAGCAAACTAAGCCCTTGGTTAATAGATAAGTCAGAGAAGAAATGTATGAAAATATAACAGCAAGACACGGATAGCAATAGACACACTAAAGATCCAGAAAATAGTACACCAAAATCAAGAGGGGAAGCAGAGAGGTAATTTGAAAACGACATAGCAGCAAAAGCTAAGACACAAGCAACGATGTTTATAGCTATCTTTATAAAAGGTAAAACAGGTCTACAGTTTTACTGGTATAAAACACCTGCCATTTGTCAATACTAGAATCATTTATATAAATCATTATTCAGAACTAGCGATGTCGAATTAGACAGCCACCACTGTTGTAATTGATGTAGGTTACTCAGCTACCCGTGCAATGTGTATTAAATATTAATCGAAATATTTTTAATTCATTATTATCCTCGCATCAGTTGTTCCGCAATATCTGCATGATTGACGGTAAAAGCATTTCACGGAGAAATCACATTATCGTGATATATCAGTGCACAAACCCAACAAGACGACTAGAGCATGTTCTAGTTCCCATGAACGACTAGAGCCTGCTTGGAACACCCAACAAATAGGTTCGAACCCTCATCACGTCTCCTGTGGATTTGTTAGTAAAAGCAATTGTTGGCATTTTATATACACGGTAGTATTATACCGTTAACGCAAATCCGTCTGTAATGGCGAAACTTTTCTTATTGATCAGTGGATTTTGCAATGGAAATTGCAAAATTATAGTTCTTACCGTGTTGCGGAGCTATATAGTGACCCAGCTGGCGATTGCAGACGCCGCCACACTGACTACCAAACTCTTGCCAGACGTACCCAATATCATCCCTTGCTGCCAGACGTACTCACACCCAATATCATCCCTTGCTGCCAGACGTACTCACACCCAATATCATCCCTTGCTGCCAGACGTACTCACACCCAATATCATCCCTTGCTGCCAGACGTACTCACACCCAATATCATCCCTTGCTGCCAGCCGTACTCACACCCAATATCATCCCTCGCTGCCAGACGTACTCCCACCCAATATCATCCCTCGCTGCCAGACGTACTCACACCCACTATCATCCCTCGCTGCCAGACGTACTCACACCCAATAGGATCCCTCGCTGCCAGACGAACTCCCACCCTATATCATCCCTCGCTGCCAGACGTACTCACACCCAATAGGATCCCTTACTGCCAGACGTACTCACACCGAATATCACCCCTCGCTGCCAGACGTATTCACACCGATCCCTCGCTGCCAGACGTATTCACACCGATCCCTCGCTGCCAGACGTATTCACACCGATCCCTCGCTGCCAGACGTATTCACACCGATCCCTCGCTGCCAGACGTATTCACACCCAATAGGATCCCTCGCTGCCAGACGTACTCCCACCCTACACCGTTCCTCGCTGCCAGACGTACTCACACCCTATAGGATCCCTTGCTGCTAGAACGTACTTCCACCCTGCATCATTCCTCACTGCCAGACATACTCCCACCCTATAGGATCCCTCTCTGCCAGACGTATTCTCATCCTATATCATCCCTCTCTGCCAGACGTTCTTCCACCCTGTAGGATCCCTCGCTGCCACACGTACTCCCACCCAATAGGATCCCTCGCTGCCAGACGTACTCCCACCCTATATCATCCCTCGCTGCCAGACGTACTCACACCCTATAGGATCCCCCTCTGCCAGACGTACTAACACCAAATAGGATCCCTCGCTGCCAGATGTACTCCCACCCTATATCATCCCTCACTGCCAGACGTACTCCCACCCTACAGGATCCCTCGCTGCCAGACGGACTTCCACGTTCATGATCTCTCATCGCCAGACGCACTCCCACCGTGATGGAATTTGTGGAAATACTGTATACATAGGAATATATTTTGAAAATTAAGTAAAAGGGTCGCAAGTAAAAAGGTAGTTTGCTTGAGGAATATGACGATGCAAGGAAGTGGTCGTACTCTGTAGTGGTTAACAAGTGGAATGTACTCAAAGTGGTTGGAGCAACCCCTATCCACAGTTTCAAGAGTATATTTGATTTAGGATTTAGTACATAATTTAGATCTCTCCTCAGATACCAACAGTAAAGCTCAATGACTGGCAGATGCATGAATATTTTACATTATTATTATAGCAGTATTAAGTCACTGCACTGCCTATTCAGCTGAAGACATTATAGTAACGAACACAAACAAACTGGGATTCAAAAATAATGAACAGGAAGGTTTGTTTAGCCAGACATGCTACCAAAGTACAGTACCATAATGGGACCACCAAATGTAGCGGTGAGTGTGTTTCCTATTACCAGCTTGTACATATTTTTTTTATTGAGAATATTTTTTCTTTAATATTTTTATTTTAATCTTTAATTAATTAGAACTTTTTTTGGGGGCAGTGTTCAAGAACAACAGTTTCTTTGTTTTATTTTTTCTTGTCAATATCCCATCTCTTTTTTCCTTTGCTCTATTCCAATTTTTCTTAAGCCTCCCTCTCTTCTTAACTCTGTCCAATCACTTGCTGCAGAAAGTAGTAGCAAAGATAACTGCACCTTGTCCCTGCAGCCTTAGATCGGTAAATGCACAATATCAAGGTTTCTAAGATACAAAACATATTAAATATTTTAAAAATCATATTAAGAAGTCTCATACACATCACTTAACAATTTAGAACACTATTAAGAAAATAATATATGCTCTATTTTTAACAGTACTGCCTTATAAATACATTTATTAACAATAATAATAATAATACACTTGCATTTTCATACTTGAATGATATACAGAAAGTGGAATGGTCAAACTATCCTGATCAAACACATCAAACACTAGAGCATTCATTATAGCTCGACAACAGGAGTATTTCCAATCTTCTGTATATGACTAATATTTTAACACCTTAAATGTCACTAAAGAGGCTGAAACAAAATACTGTAAACAATAAATACACATATTAGAAATGTAAAAAAAAATGCTGCCATTTCGATCTGCCTTGAACGATCAGTTTTGACTTGATAATAATCTGTGGCGTATTGAAACATTATCACTGTTTTACGTCTTTAATTAATGTATGGGTTTAGTGTTTATTTCTTCACTCCAATCCTTATCCTTATTCACTCCTTTACTTATCTAATCATATTTTGGATTTCAAATAACTAAATTTAAAAACAAATACTAAAATATGCATCATTTCTTTAGCAAATAAATTAGACAATGTTCAAAATTCTAAGAAAAATATTTAAAATATCTACATATTGTTATGCCACTTTCTTCTGGGATGTGTAATCGTCCCATCTGGCACAGTTTAGCCAGCCTTGGAACCAAACATGAGAGTAACCAAACAACAACGTTACAACTGGATAACAACATTTGCTGACCACTTCAAAGATTCAGTCTAGTTCAGAAAATGAAATTGCAGTTGTTATAATCATGCAAACAAAAATAAATTAACATTCATTGTTAAAAAAAAAAAATCTTGCCACACTTAAAATATTTAACTAATAATATGACTGGAGTCAAGAACAAAATATTGTTAAAATCTTTAAAAATTATGACTACAAAAATGAACACATGATTAGGGGGATGTTAGAATCCTACATCACAGTAGGCAATAAGGTCATATTACCCTATTTCCCACTCTCATGGGATGGGGGTAGGCATCAGTCTGGAAATTAAAGTGAATAATGGTACTTTATAATAATAGTAAATAAATAAATAATAATAATTTATTTTGTCAGGGAATAGGCAGCCAGTGTATTATATATACATGTTAGGATTATATCAAGGTCCCCACAAGGTCGAAATACTGACCCTCCCCAGGATGCAACCCCACAAGCTGACTAAATCCTGCATACATATTTACTGCTAGGTGAACAGGTGCATCAAGCGATAGGATACCCGCCCAACTATTTCTGTCCCGCCTGGGATTAGAACCTGGAAATCCCAACTGAGTCGAGAATGAACCAAACTGTACCACCGGGATCATAAAGGAGGTCAAATACATAAAATATTAAGACAATTAAAAACCCACCAGTCACCCATTCATAATATCATTCCCATATCATATTAAAAGGCCTGGTAAGATCAATGGCTACATACTATACTGATCAGTATTTGCCACATTTACTTAAGAGTGCTGCGCACCTTTTCTGGATGCTTTGCTCCAGTAAATCTTCATAATCTTTATATTTCCAGTACATCATCAATGAACTTGACATTTTACAAAATTTCCTTTTAGCACCCCAACCCAATTACCATGCATCAAAAAACAAAAATTAAACTAAGCAAATTTTATTCACGGTCTCCATAAATAATCTATAGGTTTTACCTACTGTGCTTTTCTGTATAACAGTATTTTAGCTACTGAAATACAATACTGTTAGAGCTCGGTAAATTGGATTCTAGTTACCCAACTCTCCAAGTAAGCATAATGAATTCATGTTTCAAGTTCTTGACCTTTTAACCTGAATAGGAATTCAGGTTTCTGCCAAATGAAAATTCAAATAAATTCAGGTTTAAGTTTTTGACCTCTCAACTTTAAACAAAATTCAGGTTACCAAGATCTTTGCTGATTAAAACCCGAATACAGTACTGTATGCAGTATTACAAACCCGAATACAGTACTGAATGCAGTATTACTTTTTTTTTGACATTCCTAGGAAAAATTTTGGTAACATGAATGAGGATGAGTCCCATATAATTTGGATTATTGAGAGTAGACAGTATCTAAATTGCACAAAGCAAATAAAAAAAATAATAAAAAATATTTTTATTAAAAGTTCTGTTTATATTAAAATTGTAGTCTTTGGTTCTGCTACATAACAATACAGTATATACAATGACCATCTTCAATCAGCCATTTCTGAGAATTCTTATAATCACAACTTATAACTGCAAACACCTACCATATTGAATTATAAAAACACTTTCCTTAAAAATATATCACAAATCCTATTTGTTAAAGTTTAACATATTCAAAATATTGTTTTGTTCAGAGGAAAGGAATGTCCATTGATAATAGTACAAATATTGAACATTAGTTTAATATGCTGGCTATCAAAGGAATATTGATATAACAGTTTCAGGAAACTTAAATTAAAGATAGCAAACATTTGATTTAAGCATTAAAAGCTGCAACATACACACATGGATGACCATGTTGCAAGAACTATAGTGCAATAATTCATAGCAATGTACAGTATTGTGAGAGATAACGGATGCTTCTGTCAAACTTTATTGTACTGCACTTAATGAGTTTAAATGAAATGAATGAAATATTTAAATGACTTAAAAGTTTAAATGCTGTCATCGCTTCTCTAATGCTATCAAAATTAAATCTTACTTTTACATTATCATTTTGTTGATTTAACACCAGAATATTTGTAAGGCATTCCATAACTGATGTAGTGTAAAATCACCTATATACACAGTAACTTATTTCCTTGCTTGTTATCATTTTCTCATTCACAAACAACACACATCTTATTGTGACTTATGGCACTGAAATTAAGTAAAGCATATGAGGACTGCACTTCAACACTTCTTGTTACTTCAACACTTCTTGTTCTATACAATTCTTTGTTGCACACACTATATAGCATGGATGCTATACACCATGAAGTATAAAAAACAAAACAAAAAAAACAAAGAAACAAAAATGTTTCACTCTGATGTTTCCTTTCCTGAGGAAATAGTGCAACCATTTCTAAGCACCTTCGTAATGCTACTATTGCTCTGGATGCAAGAACTATTTACAAATCGACTAGGTTGCTCAGTGTGCTGTTGAGGCACTGAACTGGATGTAAAGTTGTCTTGGTTATATGCTGTAATACTGAAGTTGGTGGCATGCAGGCTACCTGTTTGGTATCCTGTGTCTTGTGATGGACCCTCATCATTTCCATTAATCTTTGTGAAAGAGACAGGAAAGTATCAGTCGGTAAAAATTGTAAGTACAGATAACAGTAGATACACCAAAATTCAATCAAGCTACACAATTTGTGGTAATTTCATGTTCTATATGTAATTTTCTGTGGCCCCACCACAACTGCTGCTTTTACACACATTCCAACTATAGTCATTTACATCCCTCCAGAAATTCTGTTTGCAGTGATTTTCAATTTATGCTTGTTAACAAAGTGGAAGAAATATTTGTACTCTACATGTTTTAACAAATACGATTAAATTTTGGCACATTTTACAGCAGTGGTAAAAGTAGAGCATCTCCATGTGGTGTCAATTATTTATAAATACAGTGGAACCTCGAGTGACGAGCGCCTCAATCTACGAGCATTTTGAATAACGAGCGCGCCACTCAATGAAAATTTGTCTCGATTGACGAGCTTTCGCATGACTTTTCGTATGCTGTGTTCTTTCGCAAAAGAACAGTGCTTCCTAGCGTTCCTGCGGGTTCTCACAAATTCTTGGACACCTCCGATGATGCAAATAACTATTTTTTTGTTTTAACAATGCTAATGATGCTGGGATGTAAAGGGGCGACTGCTGTAATGTTGCAAAGCATTGATTTTTGTTTTTTAGACAAAATTTAAAAAAAAAAAAAAAAATTTAAAAAGAGAACAAATGTCAAAAAGGTTCGTTCAGTGAATGTCAGGTAGGCTGCTACATTTTCTAAAAAAATATAAAAAAAAATTAAAAAAAAAAATGAAAGAATTTGAAAAAAGAAAAGAAAAAGTGTCATAAAAGGTTTATTCAGTGATTGTCAGGTAGGCTGCTCCATTATTTAACCACCAAGCTGCTAAGGGCTATTTGGCCTTTGTCACCCACAGATGCATAAAAAAAAACTCTTATAAACCTGTCAATTTGTGTTCCCTGATCACTGGAAAAATAATTAAAAAATTGTAAGTGGCATATTTTGGCCGCAATAGGACGGAGAAGTCTGGAAAAAAAAAAAGAGGCACTGACTCGGCAAGCGTCTGAGGCGTTCTTCACTGCCCCACTGTCAGGCAGGAGTTACCACAAAGATATTATTACCTAATTTCTTCAATGTCTCTGATTGATTTTTTCTTTGTTTTTTTTTTTGCTGTAATATTATTCAATAGCGTGTAGTGTGATATATTTATATAATAAAATGTGTGAATCATCACTGTACTCAAAATTATGGTGTGCATATTATTGATTCAATTACTGTGTTCATAAAACAATGAACAAATACTTTGTCGGTTATTACACTATATACACAGGTTTATATAAGTATCTGCATGTTTTGTTCACCATAACGAACCACTAAGTTGATATTGCGAGTCAAAAAGCAACGAAGGGTGGCCAGCCAGGGTGGTCGCTGTCACTCCCTCCCTCAATGACTACTCACTCGCCCACATCATCCTCCCACCATACTGTTTTTGCTTTTATTCACTATATACAGACATTATATACAAGTATCTACATGTTCTGTTCACCATAACTGTTCATCTAAGCTGGTATAGTCCACAAAGAGCATAGTGGCCACCCTTACACAGCATGACAAGTTAGGAAGATGACGCCACCTCCCTCATTAAAATGGCTTCTCGCAACACTTCTTTTATTATTACACTATATGTACACGTTATATATAAGTATCTACATTTGTGTTCACCATAACAAACCACTAAGTTGGTATGCTGAGTGGCAGTGGCAGCCCGCCACTGGCTGCCACTCACTCACTCCCTCCCTCACCTCACCTGACTTGCCAACATTCTCCACTCAACATACTGTTTTTGCTTTTATTCACTATATACAGACGTTATATATAAGTATCTGCATGTTTTGTTCACCATAGCGAACCACTAAGCTGGTATAGTGAGTCCAGACAGTAAAAGGTGGTCACACAGAGTCAACAGACAACGCTACCTCCCTCCCCACCAAGATTACTCCTCCCACTACAGCACTATCACAACAATCCTGCTATTATCAGAATCCTGGACATTTTTATCAGAGTCAGGGGTCTTCTGTAATACTATCATTGCTAAATAATAGCATGTACATATAAATTTTTATATTTTTAGATGATGCTGTGGTCACAAGCTGAACAGCAGCGCAGCTCATGCTGCGTGCACCAGCCTTGGTGGCTCACTCAGTACTGAGGCCCCTCACACCCGGGAATGTTGCCCATGATTTTTTTTTAAATGGCGTCTGGTTTACAAGAGCCCTGATGAAGGTGAGGTGAGCCCCCATGTATCCGTGGGCCATTTAAATCTTGCATAGTACTCCAACACGTCATATGACGTGATGCGCACTTTTGGGTCAGTTACTCAACACATCATATGACGTTTTGCACAGTTTAAAACATTGAATATCATATTGATTTTTTTGGTGGTGGAATGGATTAATTTTATTTCCATTATGTTGTTGTTGTTTAAGATTCGGTACTTGGAACAAAAAGTTCCAAGTAGCACGGGCTATGGTGAGCCCATCTATTTCCATTATTTTAAATTGGGAAATTTGTTTTGAAAGACGAGCGTTTCACATGACGAGCTCGGTGCCAGAACGGATTAAATTCGTTAATCGAGGTTCCACTGTACTAAAAACAATTAACTGTCATTTCTATAACTGAAAATAACTAGAAAAATGCATCTCCTTAAGTGTATGCCACATTATCTGTATGGAAACACAACTTATTTATTTATCCTGGCATCCACGTTAATATTTGTTATGCCTTATTGACATATGTTTTCTATGATAGGTGATAAAGTAACAATTCATTATTGTAAATCAATCTAATTTCCACAAGGGAGTGAGATTTAGGTGATCAATAACACTGCATATGAAACTAAGTATTTTTTGTATACAGTATAGTGCAAATGAGCAGCCCCAGCGTGTAATAAATATTTATACAATGTAATACGTATTGCTGATAAACCAACCTCAAGAGATGGGTGTAAATCTGTCTCCATATCAGAGATGGAGGACGAGCGTTGGAGAGGAGCACGGGTTGAAAGATGAGTCAGCACGATGGGATTCAAGGATTTTGTAGCCAATACACCTTCAATTGGGCCATCTTCCATCATAATTTCATCAGTACAATTTGCCTCTGGAAAAATGACTATTCTGTATATTCAGGAAACGTTGCAAAACTTCTCATGCACTGTACATTGTGGTAACTGACTAGACCACTATTTAATACAGTACCTGTATAACCAATAAAGTACACATTAGTACAATTTGTTCCTGATAAAATTAAAGACATTATAATTAGGAAACTAATCAAAGTTTGTTACATACTACAGTATATAATTAAAATTTAAAATGCAGGTTAAGAAATATACATAATTCATAAATATTACTGTTTATTTTGTGAAATCACTGAAACTCGGGTTTCAAATTAATGTATTTGATGCAAGTATGACAACAAAAATTTCAGTTTGCACACGCACGCACACACACACACACACACACACACACACACACACAATTGGATGACAAACGAGAGCGCCTCATAATGGTCATGAGAAAGATTATGGTAAGAGCTGACAAACATAAATCCTGATTGTTGGTACTGGGGGACTTCAACTTTAAGGCAATAAACTGGGAGGCCTACGAGGCAAGAACAGAGGACGTTTGGACAGGCAGATTTGTAAACCTCATCTTAGAGACATTCATGTATCAACACGTCAAGCAGGGCACAAGAATGAGGGAAGGAGATGTTCCGTCAGTACTAGATCTAGTATTCACCAGGAAAGAAGAAGAGGTATTTGACATCCAGTACCTTCCTTCCTTGGGAAAGATTGATCACGTCCTCTTGGACATTAAACATGCTATGAGATATAATCTAGTTGAGAATGGGGACATTGAAACAGTTGTTTCAATGCGGGTATGTGGGCAGCTGTGGGAGAATCTTGAGAGACCATTCTCTCACACTAGAGCTTTATGAGTTGAGGCGAGAGAGCCTCTGCGGTTACTGATTTGATGATTTTAATGAATACATGATTCCAGTTGACACATGCTAACATCATCTTTGATAATTTTGTGATACAGACAAGTTCCATTCCTTGTCTTGTACGTACTGACTAGAACGGATGGTGGCAGCACTTTCTACTACTTCTTTCTACTTCTACCACTACCTCTACTCATTCTCCATACTCTCTCTTTTCTCACTCCGCCTCTCTCCCACTTTCCTTTTCACCTGACCACTCCTCGCTACTCCCAGACTCTACTCCTCACCCCTCCCACCTACTCCTCCCTCCTCTCAACCTCCCTCACCCCTAACCCTCACTAATTACTTCATTATTCGGTTATTTTCTTTCGTTTCTCTTGTATGTTCGTGGCGGTGAAATGTTCTAGAGTTCTCTAGAGTTGCGGGTAGCTGATCAAGGTACAATGCCTAGTGGGTGTAGCACCTAGGAAATCAAATACCGAGGTTACAAGGTGTTGAACTAGAGAGGTTGCAGTAGGAACTCTGGGGGAACTCTAGGGGTGGGATAATGGACAAAAGAGAGCTATTTCCCCCACCTCTCATTACACTAACATCGATGAATTTTTTTTAACCGATAGAAAAATGAGGGCCGTAATCAGAGGCAATGTATCGGATTGGAGGAATGTCACCACAGGGTTCAGTTCTTGCACCGGTAATGTTCGTTGTCTACATAAACGATCTACCAGATGGAATACAGAATTATATGAACATGTTTGCTGATGATGCTAAGATAATAGGGAAGATAAGAAACCTAAAGGATTGTCATGCCCTTCAAGAAGACCTGGACAAAATAAGTATATGGAGCACCACTTGGCAAATGGAATTTAATGTGAATAAGTGCCATGTTATGGAATGTGGAATTGTTGAACATAGACCTCCACGCAACCTATAAATTATGTGAGAAATCTTTAAAGAATTCTGACAAAGAAAACAGGGATGGTTCTAGATAGAAAACTGTCACCTGAGAACAACATTAAGAACATTGTGCAAGGAGCCTATGCTACACTTTCTAACTTCAGAATTGCTTTTAAATACATGGATGGAGAAATACTAAAGAAATTGTTCACGACTTTTGTTAGACCAAAGCTGGAATATGCAGCGGTTGTATGGTGCCCATATCTTAAGAAGCATATCAACAAACTGGAAAAGGTGCAAAGACATGCCACTAAGTGGCCCCCAGAACTGAAGGACAAGAGCTACGAGGAGAGGTTAAGGGCATTAAATATGCAAAAACTAGAAGATAGAAGAAAAAAAGGTGATATGATCACTATGTACAAAATAGTAACAGGAATCGATAAAACTGATAGAGAAGAATTCCTGAAACCTAAAACTTCAAGTACAAGAGGTCATAGATTTAAACTAACGAAACAAAGCTGCCAGAGAAATATAAGAAAATACACTTTTGTAAACAGAGTGGTAGACGGTTGGAACAAGTTAGGCGAGAAGGTGGTGGAGGTCAAAACCGTTAGTAATTTCAAAGTGTTATATGACAAAAGGTGCTGGGAAGATGGGACACCACAAGCTTAGCTCTCATCCTGTAACTACACTTAGGTAATTACACACAGACACACACACACAAAAAAAAAATTGCACTACGCCATAATTAATTTCAACGATTATGTGCGGTGATGTAACTTACCTTCTGTGCCATCACATAAAAATGTTGATTGTAAAAGACTGAAGTCATCTGTTTTCATGTAATTGTCCTGCAGCCGCTTTCTAGGAGAATTCTTACAATTGTTCCGACTTTGGAACATAATGGACCGACAGAGGATGGGAGAAAGTGGTGGAGAAGCAGAGAATCTTTTATTAGGGGTATCCACCTCCAAGGGACTTTGCAAAGCATCGCGTATGGGACTAGATGAGAAGTGACCCTGCAAATACAATATTATAATTGCTTATTTCATAGTACAGGAAAAAAATTTGTACAGTACTGTATTAACAAAAGGATTTTTAGTACATTGCTGTATATCTATTTCAATGACATGGGCTTCATCTCAGGCATAGCAATATAAAACACAAAATGCAATAAAAAAAGACTGGACAGATAAAAATATAAAATTTAACTAAAATATTAGAGATTGACAGTCCTAAGTCCATTTAATTTATCTCTTTTCTTTAAGTGGAATAAGAAATATTTTTACAACAGTTTAGAAAATCTGTGGTATGAATTGAAAGTTAAGAAGTTTGTATAAAACTAAGACTACAGGTTGTCTGTAGATGCAATACATATCAAAATAGTGACCAAAATGTGCTTGTCTTGGCCTTCAGTGTTAGAGACTGGCCTCCTTGACACAGGTATTGTACATAAACAGGTACATTCATCACCTCGTTTCAAAGGACTTTTCACTAGATATTAAACAAAACCCTCTTCTTTAAAAGGTCTAATGTAATTCACACAAGAGACAACAACTTCAAGCTCAAGTCAACTGCAACTTATTTAGATACAGTACCGGGTATTCCTCGTGACAATGTTATAAAATAGTTCTAAAATCTGCCAAAAGGGGGCTGTAGATCCTTAAAATAATTAGAACATTCACTGTAACACTATACTTATGTTTTGAAAGTTTTTTTAAATTGATACTCAAAAGGTGTCCAGATTTCACTTAATACAGTGAAATCTATAATAAAAAATAAACCTGTCAAAACCACAAGATATTCCTACTAGGGATACATAATAAATATAATGCACTACAATCAATGCTGAGAAAAAGAAGTCCGAGCCCATATTTAACTTTAGTCAAGATGAGGCAAAATTACCCTTAGACCCCCTCCACCTTTTTATTTTAATGTAAAAACTGTCATTTCCTGCATCCTTGACAAGAAATATCTGCTCAGCATCAAGTTTATAAAAGAAGCATAATGAGAAAATTTATTGATAAAATTTAATTTGCTTGTAAAACAGCAACGCATTTTGGCGGGGTTAAAAATGGGTTCCCTAGCATTCATGAAATGACTAAAGTCAATCCTATACTTTGCATGTTAATCAATTTTGTGTACTGCATATGCTAGTAAAGGTATGGCTCTATAATGCAGCTCTTATTTCACCCCCTGATTACTCATGTAATATACAACTTTATCAGTTAATCATCAACACCCAATAAAAATTCAATACTTACTGAGTTACTAGATGTCTTGGGTTCTGTCTTTGAAGATGTTTTCTCTGGGGTTCCATGACGCTTTGGGTTATCACATTCGGCTACGATAAATTCTCGAGTAAAATCGAAAACATTTTCTATTTTCCGAAGTCTTTCATTTGAGCAATTTTTAATATCACAGTTCTTATCAGGCATCTCTTTTGCCCTGTCCTGAATGGCACAGCTACAATTTCGTCCCACTGTGACCAGCTTTAAATGTTTTCTGCATATTGGTGGTGTAGTGAGAGATTCTGTTGAAGCATTACGACCTCTACAAGCAATTGCCTCAGACTCTGAGTGCCAACCTTTTCCAGTTACATCCAGCATGCCAGTGTCGTCTTTACTTGTCTCAGGTTTTAAAATAACGTTCTTTGTAATTAGTTTGCCGACTGAATAGGTATTATGATTACATAAATGTAGACAAGTGCTGTGACAGGTCTTTGGAGAAATTTGTAGTTCCTGGTGCAGTCTTTTATAATTTTCAGTTAGAGGAAGATTTGAAGTTAAAGGACCTGTAGTCTGGAAAGATTTATTAATCAATGAGATAGTGTGAGAGGAATACTTTTCAGGTGAACTTGCCGAGCTCTGTAACTCCACTGATGAATGTGCAGGTGACACGTTGGGCGAGCTTTGAGTCTTAGGCTGAGGATGACCATGGAGAATTTCGTCAAGAAATGGCGAGTTTGATGAACACACACTCGCAGGGTTTGAATCAGACCCTCGAGGCAAAATAGTAATTGGTGAGACATCTGGTGACACAAGAAATCTTGGTTGCTTAGTGACCATGGAATTCTCCTGGTTTTCTATAGGGGAGAGATTTGGTGATAAGAGGGGTAAAGCACTGTCATCATGATCACTATGTAACATAACTGTCAAACAGTCAGTCTTCTGAATGACAGTGGGAGAGGGTAAACACATTGATGGTGATGGGGGTGATGGTGGAGGATGTCTGGCCAACTGAGGATCCTTCCCTGATCGTCCTATTAATTCAGATGTAACTATATTAGAACACCACTGCAGTTGATCTTCATCCTCCTCTTTCACTTCCACTGTGCTTTCATCATCTTTTTGCAAGGGCAATGGCTCCACAGGAGATGAAGGCGGGCTCCTGCTTTCAGAAGCATCTGCACCACGTGGACTGCACATCCTTTATGAAAAAAAAACAGCGTTCAATGTAATGAAACGTCATTTTCTGGGTGAGACCTGGAGGCTCCCCGGAGCTATCTGGGCAAATATAAAATGTATTAGACCATGACATCAGTCAAGGCGAATGTAGTGTTTTGGCCTACAGGGGACCACGAGCCAGAACCTGGCTCTCTCAGAGGCACGAGGAGCAATAGCCTATAGAAACTCCCGTGTGGTTGGAAGTATTTTATGTCTGCCATGATTGAGTCAGGCACCCAGAAGGGTAGGTGCCCCAAAATAAACCCTATTTGGTTAAAAATTGCTACTGAAAGCCGAGCCGTTGGACAGAACTCCCCAAACTAAAAACGAGCAAATGAGCATGACGTCACAACTGTCACCACGCTGCTGTCTGCACAGCTCCTCCCCTCTCCCTGAGAGGGGGAAGGGGGAGCTCCAATCCCCCCCCTTGCACTGGCTATTCACCCCCAGTTCTGAGGCTGTCAGGAGCGCCTGACAGCTGGGTGAACAGCGCTTCGGATTCGTAGTCCTGAGGTTCCTGGTTCGATCCCCGGTGGAGGCGGAAACAAATGGACAGAGTTTCTTTCACCCTGATGCCCCAGTTACCTAGCAGTAAATAGGTACTGTACCTGGGAGTTAGACAGCTGCTACGGGCCGATTCCTGATGGTGTGTAATAAAAAGGGAGGCCTGGTCGAAGATTGGGCCGCGGGGACGCTAAGCCCTGAAATAATCTCAAGATAACCCAAAGTCCTAAGAACTCGATTCGCTTTGACTGATGCCACGGTCTAATACATTCACATCAGCCTGGATAGTTCCAGGGAGCCGAAGGGGTTCCCCCAGAAATAAGTATTAAGAGTAGAAATCAGAACATGAGGTTTATACATTATATCTATTTTCTCAGACTTACTATGTCATCCAGTGCATAACATAGTAAGTCTGTAAGTAAGACATAGTTTTTTTTAGACAGTGGATGTCTAAAAAAAAAAAAAAAAAAAAAAAAAAAAAAAAAAAAAAAAAAAAAAAAAAAAAAAAAAAAAAAAAAAAACCTGTCTGAAGGAAGACCATAAATATAATTCTTTCCAAATCCCCCTCATCCTTGCAAACTAATTTTTGTCCCCCTTAACCTTCAACTACTGTGCCCCTCCCCCCCCCCCACACCTCCCAAATCAAAGATATTCACAGACAGATTGGAAAAAAAACATAAATTTCCCATAACACCTTTAAGGGGCCATAAAATTTGGACAGCCATGGTAGAAGAATTTAAAACTATCCTACACCCAATATTTTTAATATTTTTTTTTTAAGGTGGGATTTAAGTCAAATACTATAACAAGTTTGGGTATTCAGTTCCATGTTATTCCCAGTGCATTATTCACCAGCCATTTTACATCCTGTTCCACAATTACCACTTGTGAACTAGGGGCAAACAGTGAAGGATCAGTGTTTGGTGTTGGAACCAATGATGCCATTGTTTGTGAGGAGAGCAGGTGAGGACGTTAACACTTTCACCCACCGATGACAAAGTATGGAGTCAAAAATAAAAAAAATTTGGCCCGCTTTTGGCTTGAATGAGGGAGAGGCGCGCCGCGGTTTTGGACATTATATGCATATACTCCTGTAGGGAATTTCATTCCGAATACATTGATACCAAAATGAAAGACCTAGGACGAGAATTGAGGTAACAAAGTTAAAAAGAGTAAACCCATTTTATTGCTCTTGATGAGCGCTCATGGAGGTAACGCGCTATCACCTTCTCTGTTTGCTGTGGGCGGTATGCCGGATTTTTGGACTTTATATATGCATATACTCCTATAAGGAATTCTATTGCGAACACAATGATACAAAAGTGAAAGATCAAAGTGAAAAGAGTGTACACATTTCATTGCTCTTTAGCGGTCCTGGGTAACTTTCTCTCACTTTCTCTGTTTCGTAAGGGTGGTACGCCGGGCTTTCGGACTTCATATGCATTTAATCGTGTCGAGAATTCTATTGTGAACACATATCAAATTGGAAAACATAGGATGAGAATTAAGATGACAAAGTTGAAAAGAGTATACACTTTTCAGTATTACCGCGCTCTCTAATGGAAGGCCCGGCGCTCCTCCCTACTCATCACCTGCTTTCATCACGTCATCGGGTGGAGCGCGCCACGGTTTTAGACATTATATGCCTATACTCCTGTTGGGGATTTTATTGCGAACACATTGATACTAAAATGAAAGACTTAAGACAAAAATTGAGGTGACCAAAGTGAAAAGAGTGTACACATTTTATCGCTCTTGCGTGCTCCCGGGTAACTTTCTCTCACTTTCTCCATTTGTTGTGGGTGGTAAGCCGGGCTTCTGGAGTGTATATGCTTTTAATCATCTACTGCGAACACATTGATACAAAACTGAAAAACCTAGGACGAGAATTAAGGAGACAAAGTTGAAAAGGTATACACTTTTCAGTATTACCGTGCGCTCCCGCGGAACGCCCAAAACCGCTTGGACAGGTCGAGCGATTGACGTTGGCCCACGAAAGTGTTAACCACTGCACCTGAGGGTGTTATATGCATTAATAAGCCTCAATAACTGTATTCATTGAGACCTTTAAAATACTAAACAAATCGTTGGATATTAATCTAGCATACTTCTTTTCAAGGTCCAGTGTAACACATACAAGAGGTAATAGCTTGAAGCTCAACAAGCCGTAATGTAGGACAGGAGTTGTTTTTTCATCCATGCAATTGCCTACCCACCAAAGCCTTAAATGCCAAGGCAGTATCTCGGCTCAGAATTCAGCTAGAAAAAATTCTCTGGCATAATGGGGGTGGGGGGAGCATTTCCTGTACCCATTGAGGCTACTAGAGATTGTGATCTTCAGACATGTTCTTTCAGTGTACAGTACTTTATGCTCTGTTAGAAACTCTGCTAGTCTAATATTTAATCCAATTCTTAAACACATCCACCAAATTTCTTGCATTCCACTAGCCAATGCTCTTTCCTAGACAAATAAGCTTAATCCTTTTAATTAACACATGTTTTTTATATACAGTACCAATTTTCTCTATTGGTCAAGCCAGCATCTTCCATGCCATGGCACTTCTTCAGCGGCTGCTTGTAACACACAAGCATGAGCTCTATGTTCTAATTAGCCATGACTTCATATTCAGAACATATTTTACCTAAATAATCTCTACAAAAACTATTAAAATTCATGTGAATAAATGAATAAATTTTTTCATTGCCGTATACAAGTTTTAAAATTAACTTTTGGATGATTTTATATAAACACAAGGAGCACATACTCCAATTTCAAGTAGGGAATCTATCAGGATCTCAATTTTTTTCGATATGTAAAACATCTGTTTCACTTTAGAAATATAGGAAACAATGGGCACCAATATATTCAATTACTCTAGAAATAGTTACTCACGGTGTTACATTGAGAAGCTCATCATGACTGAACAGCAGCTTGCGTCGAAGTGTTGTGTTGTTGACATTAGTGCCTTCATCATTTTCTGTGCTGCCCTGCCACCACTGGTCCTGTGATTCAAGAAACTATTGGTCCTGCTATTCTTAATTACTTTATATAAAATGTATCTGCGAAATAATATAACATTAGCGCAGTAATATTGTGGGTACTTCCATAATTATTGTGATTTCAGCTTGGGGCCAGATGCTGAAGCCTATGTCACGGTAAAATCTCTAGTAAGAGATTCGGCCTGCTCCATCATCACCTATTCTACCCATATCCTGTCTATATATTCAAGTACTGCAGCCACAAGAAGAACAACAACTACTTCCAGACGTCTAGACAATACCACCAGTCTACCTACCCCATGGCCCGTCACCCTCCTCGCACCTGGCGACGCCCCGGGAGCTCACGCCACCCGAAACAGTTTAAGAGCCGGTTAATAGTTAAAGAAGTCACCAGCGCCATCTGCCCAGCCGTCATTCTGTATATATAGGGCTGCCTAGCCCACTACGAGTTAGATTACTCCTGCGTGCTCAATTGAATTGACCCGTTAACACATCTCGGTGTGGTAACGGATTTAGTCAGCCTGGCTCACAGTATTCCTGCACCATATTTTATTTTGCACATTAACATAACGTAAATTTGATTGTCTGTTTATCTTGTTTAATTTGCACTCTGTATAAAGCCAAGCTTAGATAATATTTTTGTGTTGTAATTTGTTTAACGTCAGTTTCTATTACAGTAAAGTATTTTTAAATTTTGGTTCTGTATGTTTTCTCCTACAGTTAACCTCACAATGAAGACAACTTGCAGTTTAACTTTTTTTTACTTTTATTTTTACTTTTATGACTGGCAGTCGGAGGGAGCCGGTCGGCCGAGCGGACAGCACGCTGGACTTGTGATCCTGTGGTCCCGGGTTCGATCCTGAGCGCCGTCGAGAAACAATGGGCAGAGTTTCTTTCACCCTATGCCCTTGTTACCTAGCAGTAAATAGGTACCTGGGTATTAGTCAGCTGTCACGGGCTGCTTCCTGGGGGTGGAGGCCTGGTCGAGGACCGGGCCGCGGGGACACTAAAGCCCCGAAATCATCTCAAGGTAACCTCAAGATAAGGGTAGGCATTCCATCTGCCTAGAGAAGACTGCAATAACACCTATTTTTACCGTCACACCTAATAATTAATAATCACTGCAATGTAAGAAATGGTAGTGTTGTTTTTGTTTATGTATTACTATGCAAACTTCTTATGAAAATGTTATTAGGTTTTTAATGTTCTGGTTTACTTAATGCTGCATTTATATTTATCATTCATCACCTCTAGCAACTTACAATGATTCTGGGACTTATTAATACTACAAGTGAGAATTGAAATACATATCCTCATCACCAATTCTGTACGTCAACAATCCTACAAAAATGATTTCAAAACCTATACAGTTGTCTCTCTTTCTGTAATACACTTAAAACTGCTGTATATCTAACATTTAAAACACAGTCTGGCACAATATACAGAATGTTTTTACATTTAAAAACATATCCCAAGGTTCTTCCAAATTGTTCCCCAACACACTGGGCTTCAATGAGCTTCCTTTATTAATTCCCTAGTATCAGTGTGTTCATATACGTATGTTATTTATTAAAAGTGATTTAAAATACAAATGGGTTATATAAGTTTTAGTATGAATTTACATTCTTGCAAAGCCATAATGTCACATGTTCCAACCGTGGTAGACGGTTGGAACACGTTAGGGGAGAAGGTGGTGGAGGCCAAGACCGTCAGTAGTTTCAAAGCGTTATATGACAGAGTGCTGGGAAGACGGGACACCACGAGCATAGCTCTCATCCTGTAACTACACTTAGGCAATAACATAGTCCCCCCTGAGATTATGGCTTGTCCCTGTTTAATGGAACAAGAGAGAATCTTGCTCCAGGGTTCATCCAAACATCCTGCTCAAACACTTTTCATGTAAGCTCTTTACATGTTTACCAATGCCCAACACTTGGGCACTGGCCTCTCAATGCCCAATCTAAACTACCGCTTTGTTATCAATTCCACCGTCACAAATATGGGAACATTTAGATCTTATTTCTTCAAACAAATCAAAATGTTTGTATGTGCCTTTTAATTAGGATTAGTTTTTACACATAAAAAATCAGTGTTTAGTGTAATGAAACACCATTTTCTCGGTGTGACCGGGAGGCTTCCCGGAGCTATCAAGGCTGATATGGGTATATTAGCTTTCTGGCATCAAAGTGCATGGAGTTCAGCCAACCGGAGAACAGAACCACAAGCCAGAACCTGGCCCCGTCAGAGAGGCGCGAGGAGCAATGGCCTATAGAAACCCCAGTGTGGTTGGGAGCATTCAATGTCTGCTATCGACCGAGTCAGGCACCCAGAAAGGTTGGCACCCAAAGCCAATGGACATGACGTCACCACGTTGCCACGCTTCCGTCTGCACAACCCCCACCCCTCCCCAGGAGGGCATGGGTGGGGGTTGTGCAGACGGAAGCGCAGCGACGTGGTGATGTCATGCTCGTTTGCTCGTTTTCATTTGGGGAGTTCTGTCCACTGCTTCGGCTTTCAGTACCAATATTTTAACCAGAATATGGGAGTTTGTTTTGGGGTGCTTACCTTTCTGGGTGCCTGACCCGGTCGATGGCAGACTTAGAATGCTTCCAACCACATGGGTGTTTCTGTAGGCCATTGCTCCTCGTGCCTCTCTGAGGGGGCCAGGTTTTTGCTCGTGGTCCTCAGTAGGCCTAGAATTCCATTTGTGTTGACTGATACCAGGGTCTAATACATTCATATCAGCCCGGATAGCTCCGGGGAGCCGAAGAGGCTCTCCCCAGAAATATATAGTAAATAATAATTATAATTTTTACCTTCTCAATGAATGTTCAACTCATTTGGTACCTCCAATACGAGCTTAAAACATGTGTTCATTAAAATGAACATACACCCTAATGTATGATATAATTACTTACTTTTATCCTTTACTATTTTTTATAATAGCCACTTAACAATATTGTATGTAAAAGTGGATTTCATAAACAATATAATATATATATTATATTCCTTTTGTCCGGTCGTGATGGTCAAGCGGATTAAGGTGTCCTGTACATACCAGTTGCGTTGCTCCTGGCAGTATGGGTTCGAGTCACTTCTGGGGTGTGAGTTTACACACACACACACACACACACACACACACACACACACACACACACACACACACACACACACACACACACACACACACACACACTCTCTCTCTCTTACTCAATAAGCAGCCCTCCTCCTGTTTTGGTAGTACTTATAGTAATGATGAGGACCATAATACAAGTATATATACCGACGTACAACAAAATTAGAATATAGAAATCTGAACTATTGAGATGGTCAAACTGGAAAACTATTTTTTACTTGTGTTACTTTAACAAACTAAACTAACAATCCTAACCTCCCTAGACCTAACATAGTATATATGTATGCAATAATAGGCCTAGGAATATTTAAGTTTGTGTTTTAGCTTCATTTATTTTAATAGAATTCCTTACTAATCAGAATACTACGATCTAAAAGCTAAGAACGTACAAATTCTGGTCACAATAGGTACTATCTGAACAGGAGGATAGGTTGAAATAAATGAAGTGGAGACTGACCTGCGTGAAGGTACAGAAGGGCTTGAGTGCTTCCTCCACAGCTTTTGGCAAGATGGGTGGCAGTGTCAGTTCAGTTTGACACCAAACTATAAGGCAAATATAAACTTCTAATAAATTCAATAACTGATCTATGTACAAAATTACTATATTTCAGTTCTATTTACATTAAATAATTACTGAGAAATGCTGCATTTCAATAGTTGCACTACTCTGACATGCCACTAATTAAACTCTTGCAAACATCTAATATATCTGGCTATTGTATATACTGTATATCAGTTGCACAAAGAAAGTTTTAAGACTTGCCAAAATTTGTTACTTTTATTCAAAAGTCTATTTATTTGGGTCAAATATTCCATTTAAATATAGCCAATATAGTAATAGTGTGTAAGCTGATGATTAGCCAAAAGTAAACTGGCTTAGAATCAGTTTAAACTGTTTAATGACCGAGATACAAACAAGAATTTGGAATGAACCAAGAAGAAAATGGTGTTTACCTCTCAAACTCTTACTCTAAACTCCTGTAACCATTCAGTATTAATACTAAAAACTTGGGAAGACATGTATTCAAGGTTTAGAACATTACAATCATAACAACAACTAACCTGTGTTTGTGTGAGGAGCAGAATAATTAGTCTGCTGAACTGGTGTGCACACCATCCGCAGGAGATTCACAGACTTCCCACTCCCTGTCCAGGGACTCGGCACTACCGACTCATGAGTGAAGAACCTAAAATAACGTTGTTGCACAACTTAATATAATTCATGAAATGCTTCTTAAAATTCTTCCCTTAAAATTTTTTACAAAAAATTCAGCGTTGAATGTAATGAAACGCCATTTTCTGGGTGAGAGACTGAGGCTCCCTGAAGCTTATCCAGGCAGACATGGATATATATTATTAGACTTTGGCATCAGTCAGTGTGAATGGATTTCTTAGGCCTACCGGGGACCACGAGCCAGAACCTGGCCCCCTCAGAGAAACACAAGGCGCAATGGCCTATAGAATTGCACATGTTATTTGGAGCATCCTATGTCTGCTATCGACCGGGTCAGGTACCCAGAGAGGTAAGCATCCCAAAACAAACCCCTATTCTGGTTGAAACCACTACTGAAATTCAAACGAGTGGACAGAACTCCCCCAAAGACAAACGAGCAAACGAGCATGATGTCACCACATGCCGCGTCGACATCTGCGCAGCCTCCCCCTCCATAGGACGAGGAAGGGGGAGCCCCAGACCCCTTTATGCCGGCTACCCACACCTTCAGTTCAGAAGCTGGATGTCAAAAAACATGCAAGCAGAGGGAAAGAGGGATGCAGGGAAGCCTCCAAGTCTCACACAGAAAATGGCATTTCATTACATTCAACGCTGTTTTTCTGGGGGAAGCCCCTTTGGCTCCCTGGAGCTATCTAACCAAAGATAAGGAAAAAGAAGGACGGACCTGACACGCCACACGCCCTAAACTCAAAGCAAGACAACCGGCAACACCGAAGGACCCTGCGAACGACAAGGGAGACCCAAACCAAGGAACAGGGAAAATGGGAACCTGGGCAACCCAAAGCACAGCTGCGGCTACAGAGGCCAAGGGGTGCAGTCAACAGAGGAGAACTGCAACCGGACACACCACACGACGCACCCCCGGCCTAACCAACCAAGCATAAACAACCCAAGGACCCCTCCAGAAAGCAGACGCCTCAGCCTTCACCAGAAAAGAAGAAGGCTGCAAACAAACAAACCGAGTACCAAAAACAAAAAAGCACAAATCCCTGCACCAGAGGAGAGCATGAAGCTTCTCTACCTGACCCCCAGAGGCCAACACCAACAGGAAAGAGCCGTGGAGAAACAAACCAGAACCGAAGGGCCCACTACAAGCCGTGGGAGAAAAGAGAGAAGAGAGCACAATGTCCAAAGACCAGGACAGCTCAGGCGATGCATGAGCAGGCCGGAGATGAAACAACTGTCGAGACAGCTTGTAAAACGGCACATGACTAACATCGATGCCAAAAGCAAGCTGCGGCAGCTCTACCAGAGCTGCCGCAGCCTATATCGAGCAGATCTGCATATTGGCAATATGCAGTCTTGCCTGACTGCATGATCCTGTTCTATGGACACAGCCACAACTTTCCTTAGAACAGCTGAGAAAAAAATTTATATAGGACATTACTGTTCAATTTCAGTAGCCATAAGTATTTAATTATACTTAAGTGCTTCAATTTTCAAGTGATTGGAATACAAAAAATAATGTGGGATGAAAAATATACATGACAAAAACCATAACATACCCCCTACAGAGGATACCTATGCTAAATCACAGGCCACCCATTGTAGGTGAGAATTCACTAATAAGCACATGTGGACGATGATGTCACCATCCAAAAATATATTTTGTACGACCTTAAAAATTATATGATACTGTAGACAGCTTGATAGTGTGGTAGCAGCCATAAACACTGTAATATCTATATAGATCCTATTTGGTAGGTGGTCTTCTGCCTTACCTAAATGCTGTGTCGTCACTACTCTCCTACACTACATAACATTGTATATTGAACTGGTAAAAACACCTTGGTAACTGATGTCCTTCTCTCAAATTTAAAGAAGCCTGTTTTACAAAAGGAAAACCACAATAATGTTCCTGTTCCACATATTATTTTCCTATAAAAACACATGCATGCAATCTTGTTAAATGTGTTAAAGTAGACATCTAATAGAGAACTGTAATACAGTAATCTAACTTCTATGAATACAGATTTCCAACATGCACACCTCATTATGGATAGAAAGAACTTCACTTGTATGCTATTCAATTTTATTCTGACAAAGTTTTAAAGAATTTTATCCAAAAAATAATCAACAGTAAAATAAAGCAACTAAAGAAGTACCTACACAGAAACCCACTCACTTGTCAATGGCATCTTGCGCTTTACGTTCATAATCTGGGTCTATCACCATCTCTGCCTGGTTGAAGGGAGACGTTTCAATATTTGCCGGGTGTAACAAAGCTAGCTGGTCAATAGACCAACGAAATTTACCATCTGCCTTTTGACTTGGTGATACAACATGGCGAAAGAGAGACGGGCTCACAGCTGGCATCTGCAGACACTCTGCTCCAACTTCAAATGGGTTGATGCAGCGCTGGTGAAAAACATGTCGATGCTGCGGTGTCTGCGGTCCTCGGCTTTCACTGGACTTGGTGCTGTAAAATGATTCATAAATACATAGGGTACTGGTACATAATCTATAGCATGTATATATCTAAACACATGGAACCCACACTACAAGAACAAAATTAAAAATTTAATAGTAGCTTACCAAGAAAATCTCTCTGATGGTGTTCGAAATACCGGATAAGCAGATGGAGAAGGATTTATTGGAGACTTGGATGGAGTGACAGTCAGACACTTTTGGCCCTGACTTTTGTTGCTGGAGCTCTCTCCACTAGGGCCACTGCAATTCCTCACTTTTTTAACTTTATTTCCTTCTTTATCTAAACTTTTCTCAAAAACATGATCATCATAAAAATGACTTCTGGTATTTTGTGTTCCCTTACCATTACAGTAATCCTGACCCATGTTCTTAATACATAATAGTCTTCCAGTGTCATTAAGATAACACATTTGGTTGTCACAGCAGCACACACGGTCTAAAGGAGGGGTGTTTTTGAGACTGGATGGACTGTGTGACAAAGATGACGATGTTCCTTGGTAAGACTCCCATATGAGAGGGTAGGCAAAAGGTGAAGATTCATCAGTCTCATCTGAAGAAGTACCTTGAGACCTGAAAGAGGTTACACTAAAATTCATTAGAAATCCTTATGACAAAACTTGACATAAATTATACTGTATTACTGCATTATGTTGGAAAATATGCAAGTAGGTCCTACAATGTTACAGCTAATGTTACAGCTACTAAAAACTGAAGTAAAAAGTAAAGAACGGGCGAGATCATTTGCCCATACAAGTACGCAATAGTTTCCTTTCCTATAATGATGGCCCATTTCCCTGGCTTGCATTACAGTGCCACTTGGATACTCACACTACAGTGCCACATGGTTACACTCACACTACAGTGTCACTTGGTTACACTCACACTACAGTGTCACACGGTTACACTCACACTATTTAGCATGGGTGGAACACACACAAGGGGACACGGTGGAAACTTAGTACCCAAGTGAGCCACGAACAATGGAAAGAATTTCTTCAGTGTCGAGTAGTTAACAAATGGAATGCATTAGGCAGTTATGTGGTGGAGGCTGACTCCATACACAGTTTCAAATGTAGATTAGATAGAGCCCAGGAGGCTCAAGAATCACTATACCAGTTGATTCGACAGTCGAGAGGCGGGACGACCAAAAAGCCAAAGCTCAACCCCCACAAGCACAACTAGGCGAGTTCACTACAGTAACTGGTTCTCACTACCTTATTCATCTTAACACTGCTGTTTAAAGCAACAGTCCTTTTCTTATTCTATACAGTATTGCCCCATTCCAGTTCATGTGCTCTTCTGCAGTATCACATTTGTACCCCTTGAGTGCAGTCTGTTATTTTATACATTCTTTCTTCTGACACCAACAGCTGCAGTTGCTATCAGAAATAAGACAGTCAGTTAGCCCATAAACCCCCATTTCCCACTTTCTGGGGTGGGCAAGCATCTGCCTGGAGAAGACTGGAAAACTGCCTAAGAAAACACCAACAATTTCAGCATACCACTACAATGCATCACAGACAACTAGCTCCACCACATTCCACCAAATCAGTCACAAGAGATTTTAACACTGATGAATTTGAAATATCCAAGGAAAATTGTGCACATGGCAGCCCTCTTATGAATGATGAGTTTGCAAAGGATATAAAGTAATATATATATATAAACTAGTAGTTTAAAATTAAAAGGAACTTTACGTATTATTATTTTTACAGATGCTTCACTATGTCAGTATCAAAATATTATGAAGCACTAATGCTGCATTCTGAATTACAGGAAAAAAAGATACTCATATACTGTACTTGTTTCCAGAGTGTGACTTTTTACTCCGCCGATGTATCCACCTAGGATCCAAATTCTCCTGATTCCATGTCTCTTCTTGGATAACTCGGCATTTGTGGTATCTACAAAATTAAGCCGTTCATATTTTATTTTAAACAACAGTAACAAAAATTAAATATACAATTTAAAACACAGTGCATAACATTTGGAAAACACACAAAACTGCTCACCTGTAGGGTGTGAGCGAGGACTGTGACATGGGTGAAGACGAGAGAGGAAGTTTGATCTGCTGCAAGGGCCGTCTAGAGTGCTGAGGAGTCATGTACTGCCCACCACCTTCCTCCTTTCCAGTAGTGTTTTTATCAACTCCATTATGGAGAATTTCACTAGATTTTAAATCCATTTATTACCAAACCTAAAAAAAAAAAAAAATCATATTTCTTTAGAAAAATATATTTAATTCCTAGACATGCACATACAGTATTAAAAAGGACTTTTGAAGATATTACTCCAATAGATATACAGCTTTTTGAAAATTAGTGAGCAGGGACTATCTAATACTGTCGTAGCCCATTTGGAACATTTTCACATCTCTCTTATTTTTCTCGTACACTACATGAGAAAAGTATAAACAAAATTAATAAATAATTTTGGGAAATTTAACAAACTGTCGGCTTCTTGTTCCCATTGAAGCCACTGGAGATGATGGCCCCTCAGGTACATTCAGATAAGTACTTATATTATTTTTTAGTCAAGACAGTAATTATTGTACATTATAATTTCTAATACAGTACCTTGGAATTGTTAGGTTAAGTAGATTTTATTTATGGTTATATTCCTTTAAAAAAATGAGTACACTGTACTACCAAGACTCCAAATATGAACAATAAAAGGTAAGCTAATTATGAGGAGAAAGCACCAAGCCAGTACGACTATGTAGCACTTGGAGGGGATATGAGGACAAGGGGTCTGGGATATGGCGGAGGGAAGGAATGGTACCTAAACACTTGCACTGTCAGGGATCAAACGCTGACCGGCAAGAAGGGAAGGGAATTACCAGGGGAAAGTCTCAAACCATTACGACTACATGGCACTAGGAAGGGATCAGGATAAGGATTTGAGATAAGACGGGGAGGAAGGAATGGTGCCCAACCACAAGCGAGACTGTCACTGTACCAACCAGTTCAAGTGGTTGCGTATGAACAGAAAAGTACAGTAACTGATTACAGTGAGAGATGTGGTAGGAATTGCAGATTAACCCAATGAAGAACAGAGCCAAAATAGGCACATGCAGAGAACACTGTATGAAATATCAGAAGCCCATGGATCCTCAACCTCTTCTTATCAATTATAAGTAGTATTGCCTAAACACAAGTGGAGGCTTTCAACAGACAATTTGAAAAATTCTTACACGTGCCAAATCAGTAGGATTGCAATGGACAATCCTGCTGATTGTAATGGACATGTAACAGCTTGGCCAATCAAGTTAACACTAGAAAAGCCTATCCCCAGGTTCGGCTTTGGAAGCATAACTTTTTTTGAAAACTGACTATGGGAAAACTACAGGTAATTGGTAATACAGAATACCAGTGTAGTTTTCTACCAAGTTGACAAAACAAGCTGGTAGACAGAACTTACTATATATAGCAAATGGTTCCTCTATGGCTTCCTCTTATCAGTGACAGGAAGAAAATTAGGATTATTGAGGTTCCTCTTAGTGACCGAACCATGATCATATCATGATCAAGTCTCATATTAATTTTCTAGAATTAATTGACGATTGCTTTCTTACGCAACACATTAAGGAACCAATGCGGGAAAATAATATTTTAGATTTAGTGTTAACTAACAGGGAAACACAAATTAATTAATGACATCGAAATTGAAATAGGGAGTGCCTATTAGTGCAGTGCCACATGAAAGACTGATTAAAAAGATAGAGGCTCATGGTATTGGGGGTGCTATACTAAGTTAGATTAGGGCATGGCTATTCCAAAGGAAACAGAGTTAGTGTGAATTGGGTTAAGTCAGAGTGGGAAAATGTTGTAAGTGGAGTGCCTCAAGGCTCTGTCCTGGGACCTCTGTTGTTTACAATATATATAAATGATTTAGATTCAGGTTTGAGTAGCAACATTTGCAAATTTGCCAATGATACAAAAATCGTTAGGGAAATAAATACGGAAGCAGACTCACTATCACTTCAAGTTGATCTAAATAGGATTTTGAAATGGTCAAAGGATTGGCAGATGCAGTTTAATGCTGATAAATGTAAAGTTTTGAGGCTAGGTAATGATGATAGAGTTGCAAGTTACAAGCTAGATGGTGTAGAGATTGCGAAGTCAGATTGTGAAAGGGATCTGAGTCATCATTGGTAAGAATTTAAAACCAAAGGATCAATGCATGAATGTTCATAATAAGGCAAATAGGACACTGGGATTTATTAATCGAAGCGTTAGTAACAAGACATTTGGTGTTGTTCTTCAGCTATATCTTGCTCTGATTAGGCCCCATTTAGATTATGCAGTTCAGTTTTGGCCACCGAACTATAGAATGGATATAAATTCACTTGAACATGTTCAGCATAGGATGACAAAGTTAATTCCCAAAATTAACAACCTGTCATACGAAAAGAGATCAACAAAACTTAAATTGCATTCACTGGAAAGGCGAAGAGTTAGGGGTAACATGATAGAGGTTAACAAGTGGATGAATGGACATAACAAAGGGGATATTAATAGGGTATCAAAAGTATCAACACAAGACAAAACACAAAATAATGGGTATAAATTGGATAATTTTAGAGTTAGGAAAAACTTGGGTAAATACTGGTTCGGTAACAGGGTTGTTGATTTGTGGAACCAATTACCGCGTAACGTGGTGGAGGTGGGGTCCCTCGATTGTTTTAAGCGTGGGTTGGACATGTTTATGAGTGCGATTGGGTGGTTATAAAAGGGAGTTGCCTCATATGGGCCAATAGGCCTTCTGCAGTTACCTCTGTTCTTATGCTCTTAAATCACTAACGATATATACGATTTTAATAATTAGAAAATGAGCTTATATATACAGTATTTTATATATTGAAATACCAGTGTGCAATCTGACCATATTCACCCCCCAGGCTTGGTGTAGGGGTCAAAGAGATCATGTCAACACATTTCCATGGGGTCATTAAGGTGGCTGTACACAACTCTGTGAAGAGTTAGGCAAGATTATTTGAACACTTTGCCCCAAGAATGTAATATTAAAAGTCTTGTAGTATATATTTTGCAATATGTATTATGTGACAACTACTGAAATAACCCATTGTCGATGTGACGACTTATACTGAATTTTGTAACTAGCTCATCAAGATTGTAACTTGCTTAGCTAAATGAATTGTGGGGTTCAGTCCCTGAGCCCATTATGTGCCTCTGTAACCCTTTCCACTACCGCCCACAAGATGGGTATGGGGTGCATAATAAATGAACTAAACTAACTAAAACTACTGAATTAATGTAAATGCACTTGTAATATAATACAGTATATGATTAATAATTGTGTACTCTATAGATATAAGCCCCTTTAGGAATCTTATCACATAGGTGGATAAAAATACCCTAAGGTATTCTCTCCTTTCATGAAGTATTTTACTATATCAATAAACTTACATCAACTTGAATATGTTAGGGAAGACGATGGATGCCTACTATACTACTAGGGAAGACACAAGTAGCCACCATAACCCACAAAGCCACCTGGGATATTCAACTATGATACCGAACTGATAAACGTTAAGGAGTGCAGCAGTCAATCAACTAACTCAAGATTGACTTTTCAACATTTCAAAAGCTAACTACCCACTTTAAGGCAGTTAGACGGCAAAACCTGGATAATTACCTTTTAATTTTGTTTGTAGTTAAATCCAATTATAACGGTGAAGCCCAAACTGGAGGCAATACTGGTCACCACTGTTGAGAGGTGAGGTCGGCCATGTTTATGTTGTATGTGGCGGGCTCCAGCCTCCCTGCCAGCCATCCCCGGGGCTCGGTCTCCCTCCTCATCATCATACCTCACCTTCATCATATATACCTACCTGGCATGCTCTCCGCAAATATGATAGGTTGTATAAACCCCTATATTACTCCTACCTCTCTAATAACACCCCTCCAAACTTTAAAGTATATACTGAATTCGTATATTCGTACTGAATTCTGTACTGTTCTATTTTCTAATAGAACTTTCTTCTGTACTGTTCTAATTCTGTATCGAATTCAATTAAGCCTAGCAGTGGTAACATCTAGAAGCCTGCTAACATTATTGGATGACCCATAGACGTGCGGTTCTTCATGCATAATAGAATGATGATAGATGGAGTAACTGGTGTGAATTTCACTTTGCCTCAAGTCTCCGAAATTTAGTTGATGTTCCTGGGATATTGCTGCCCTCAGGCTGCTCAAAGGCAGTCCAAGTTGGTAATCAATTCCCTCTTTACGAGCAAAAGTCTTGGCTAACTCATCAGTTATATCATGCATTCGGAGACCAATATGGGAAGGAATCCACAGGAGACAAACTCTGACTTCATCATTGATTATTTCATTATATCTGTGTCTAGCTTCAGAGATAAGCACATCACAGTTATGCCTTGGGGAGCTGAGGGCAGTCAAGGCTGACAAGGAGTCACTTACAATTAGCGTGTCAACTTTGGATTCATATACGCGCTCGAGTGCAAGGATTATGGCAACCAATTCTGTTTGAAGAGTGGAGGCCCAGTTACTTAGACGCGCACCACATGAGGTGATTTGATAAAATACCATGCCCAAGATTACCAACAGAGTGCCGGCGGGGGGATGGGAATTAGCCTCGGTTACCATTCTCTTTTTGTTGGGTCGTGTTGGTCGAGTGGTTAAAGGATCCTGTACATCAGATGCATTGCTTCTGGCAGTATGGGTTCGAGTCACTTCTGGGGTGTGAGTTTTCAGTTGCATATATGCCTGGAGACTGTTCAGGCTTGTTCGCATATATATATATATATAAATATATATATATATATATATATATATATATATATATATATATATATATATATATATATATATATATATATATATATATATATATATATATTTTGTGACGATAATCTCTTTCAAGAGAGATTGAGCCTGCTCTTCCCTACATAAGTACGTCAATATTCAAGATAATATAGAAGATACATCCACCAAGTATCGCCAAACGTTTTGCCCAGAGAGCAAATCGTACCCAGCACACAGTGACACCTGCTACCACTGCCGTAACCAGCTAACTGCTCATCCTCTGCCTGCCTGTCGCTGATTGGCTGGTGACTCGTCGCCCCTGCCCTCCGCCTCCGCCACAAGTCGACGTCTGGGCTGCAGTGCGCCAGTATCGTCAGAATATCTCAGTGCTCCAAGCAGTTGACATCTCTCGCTGGTAGACTAAGCCTTGGCTTTCGTGTACTAAGGGAGGTGGCAGCTCGAAGCCAGTATTCCAGCACCACTAATATTTTATTTTGCTATCACTGTAACTCACTTGTCTTAACGTAACTTTTCATTTGCCAGTGATTATTCATATTATTTTGTTTGTTGACTTGTCTTGCCTGTTTTATGTGATTACCTTTATTCATGTCTTGTTTTTCTAGAGTAATTAAAATTTCATTGTTTATATACTTGTGTTTTGTGTGTCTTCCCATTACCTTACCACAGACGAAAGGACCAGCTTTTCTCTTTTTTTTGATTATGTGACGAGGCCCTGCCCCTAGCTTTTGAAACAGCCGAACACCAACGCTTTACCGTCACAATATATATATATATATATATATATATATATATATATATATATAAACCATTTTGGTCCTGGGGACCATTCAGGCTTGTTCGCATATATATATATATATATATATATATATATATATATATATATATATATATATATATATATATATATATATATATATATATATACTGTGTATATATATACATATATATATATATATATATATATATATATATATATATATATATATATATATATATATATGTGTGTGTGTGTGTGTGTATATCACGAAAATAAACACGTGATTAAGAATGTGACAATGTCAGACCACGGAGGAAAATGAAACAATAATTTCCTTAAGTACTTTCGTATATTAAATACATCTTCATGTATTTAATATACGAAGATGTATTTAATATACGAAAGTACTTAAGGAAATTCCTGTTTCATTTTCCTCCGTGGTCTGACATTGTCATATATATATATATATATATATATATATATATATATATATATATATATATATATATATATATATATATATATATATATATATATGCGAACAAGCCTGAATGGTCCCCAGGACATATGCAACTGAAAACTCACACCCCAGAGGTGACTCGAACCCATACTCCCAGAAGCAACGCAACTGGTATGTACAAGACGGATTGTCAAGTCAAGTGGATTAAGGGGTCTTGTACATACCAGTTGCGTTGCTTCTGGGAGTATGGGTTCGAGTCACTTCTGGGGTGTGAGTTTTCAGTTATATATATATATATATACACAGTATATTGGCAACAACCCACAGCTCTACCACTGAGCCACCACCAACCACTAAATAAGGAAGGATGTTGTTTTGTTGCTGTTTAAGATTCAGCTACTGGGAACAAAACGTTCCAAGTAGCACGGGATATGGTGAGCCCGTAGTGGACTTACCTGGCACACGAGCGGGGCTGTAACTTGGGTCTAAGGAAGGATTCAAGAAACACCTATCTGCTGTCCAACTGGAACTTTACACCAACCATTTGGTCCGGGAGACATCTCCCGTCACGCAGGGTGCAGTCGCACCTCCACAGATCTCCAGTATCATCTATAGATACTGGTGATGGCTCAAAAGGGCCACCACTTACGAGCTATTTATGCCCGTGCCACCTTTTGGGTGGCTTCATCTTCATCTTAAACACATTCACAAGGGAGACATCTCCCGTCATGCAGGGTGCATTCGCACCTCCACAGATCTCCAGTATCAGCTCTTGATACTGGTAATGGCTTAAAATGGCCACCACTTACGAGCTATTCATGCCCGTGCCACCACCATTCATGCCTGTGCCACCTTTCGGGTGGCTTCATCTTCATCTTAACACATTCACAAGGGAGACATCTCCCGTCACGCAGGGTGCATTCGCACCTGCACAGATCTCCAGTATCAGCTCTTGATACTGGTAATGGCTTAAAATGGCCACCACTTACGAGCTATTCATGCCCGTGCCACCTTTTGGGTGCCTTCATCTTCATAACACATTCACAAGGGAGACATCTCCCGCCATGCAGGGTGCATTCGCACCTCCACAGATCTTCAGTATCAGCTCTTGATACTGGTAATGGCTCAAAAGGGCCACCACTTACGGGCTATTCATGCCCGTGCCACCTTTAGGGTGGCTTATTCTTCATCAATCAATCAATCTGGAACTTTAGGCATTATGTGAAAGGTAACGTGCCCAATCCTTCTATCCTACCCGGGGATCAAACCCGGAATTCCCTATTATGAGTCGAGAATAAAACCAACAGTTACTTACAGACTCATGAATTACTATCCATCAGAAACTGAAAGTTACTCAATAAATAGGAGCTGTAGTTAAACAAAAAACTGAATTATAAAACGATCCTTTGACTTTAATGAAAATAAACTCGAAGTTCAACACAGTAATTCTCCTACCAGTAACGGTTAAGCTGGGCCGCAGTACTACCAACGCTGCAAGCCAAACATGGCAAGGCTGATCTTCATCCAAGCCTTAAAATACTGAACAATTTGGAAGACATTAATACAGACAAGAGGGGTAGAAATAGCCTAAGCTACTCTATCCCTTTGAGATGTATTTATTGCTTATCTCAATAAACATACTTGAACTTGAATTGAATACAGACCACTCCTTTAAAAACTGTAATCTGATCCTCATTATTTTTGTATAATTAAATTATTATACCTATTATGGTGCGTGTTTGGGGAGTAGGAAGGGAGATGGGATGATGCATGTCGCCACGATAACACTGATATATCTGCCTCGGGAGATAGTCAGGTATATAAACATGAGACATGACCATACGTTAACATTGTGTTGCAACCAACACATGTGCATGACACGGAAAGTAACACTAACCCCGGGTAGAGGACACGCACACTCATAATGCTGGTACGTGTACATAAGAACATAAGAACAAAGGTAACTGCAGAAGGCCTATTGGCCCATACGAGGCAGCTCCTATTCTATAACCACCCAATCCCACTCATATACTTGTCCAACCCGTGCTTGAAACAATCGAGGGACCCCACCTCCACAATGTTACGCGGTAATTGGTTCCACAAATCAACAACCCTGTTACTGAACCAGTATTTACCCAAGTCTTTCCTAAATCTAAACTTATCCAATTTATATCCATTGTTTCGTGTTCTGTCCTGTGTTGATACTTTTAATACCCTATTAATATCCCCCCGGTTATGTCCATTCATCCACTTGTAAACCTCTATCATGTCACCCCTAACTCTTCGCCTTTCCAGTGAATGCAACTTAAGCTTTGTTAATCTTTCTTCATATGAAAGATTTCTAATTTGGGGAATTAACTTAGTCATCCTACGCTGGACACGTTCAAGTGAATTTATATCCATTCTATAATATGGCGACCAAAACTGAACTGCATAATCTAAATGGGGCCTAACTAGAGCAAGATATAGCTTGAGAACCACACCAGGTGTCTTGTTACTAACGCTGCGATTAATAAATCCAAGTGTCCGATTTGCCTTATTACGAACATTTATGCATTGATCCTTTTGTTTTAAATTCTTACTAATCATAACTCCCAGATCCCTTTCGCAATCCGACTTCGCAATCACAACACCATCTAGCTCGTATCTTGTAACTCTATCATCATTACCTAACCTCAGAACTTTACATTTATCAGCATTAAACTGCATCTGCCAATCCTTTGACCATTTCAAAACCCTATCTAGATCAACTTGAAGTGATAGTGAGTCCTCCTCCGAATTA